TAGCCATTTTGGCTCTCCCTACTTCGTGTATCTTGCAATCAAGCATGTGCTCTAATGGTGCGAAAAGCCTTTTCGCCAATCCATGTGTCCGTACTGCATGCTTGCACAGCACAATTCTTTCATCAACTAGCTTTCTGAACAAACCCTCAATGTGAATTGTGGTGCCGAGGCCACCGGGACTACACTATCTGGCTTCGCGAAAGCTGCAGCTACCGACCCCCGCCGCTCTGGCGACTACATTCTCGATCAGCTAGCTAAGACTTCCGAAAACAGGGTGGAAGACAAGGGGCATGAGCTGCGACTGAGCTGCAATTTGCATCCCCCGTCGTGGTGGAGATTCCAGGAGCTCGCAGCTCAACCCCAACTAAGGTGATCCTCCCTTGAATCCTATATAAACCTGATCCAAGCCCGATTAAGCCAGTAAGCCCTCGACTGATACATCAAACCTCCGATGAAAACCCTGTGAACCCGAAGAAACCCAAACTAAGACCCAAGAACAAAACCAGGTCTAGGGTCACATACCCTCCTTTGAATCCTATGAACCACATTATATAGGCCTCTGTAAGCCCTCGACTGATACGTCAAACCTCCTATGAAAGTCCTGTGAACCAGAATAAGCCAAATTAAGATCCAATAAGAAAGCCCGGTCTAAGGTCACGTACTCTCCTTAATTTGATCGAATCCTATGAACCTAGCTGATCAAAGCCCCATTATGCCTGTGTACGCCCCGGATCGATACGTCAAAGCTCCTAGAACCCTGCTAATCCGAAGAAACCCCATATAATTATATACATATGTAGTCGTGCATAACATTTGAAATATCCAATCAAAAGCCCGATTTATGTGACGCTACGTGGGGTTTCGTGGTCGGTACACGGGGTCTTAATTCGAGCTACATATACATACATTATATAATGTGGAGTTTACGGATTATTATATGTGGCTCATGTGAGTATACGGAAGTTAAAGTCCGGGTTAAAAAGGGTCATAGAGTCATAGAGTGTAGCAGGTATATAGTGGTCAAATCCCGATCCCCGAATTTGCATCTCAGGTTTAAACAGTTCGGCCTGGCATTGGATGTTCCGATTTCCTATGTGAATGTGGGCTGTGACAAATGGGACCTGCCAATGATTAAGCCCAGTGATCTTTATCAGCACCTTGCAGACCTTGGAAAGCTGAACCTTTTGTATGGCCAACAACCACCGAGTGTTCTTCTGGAGTTTTGGAATCGCTTTAAAGAAGTGGAACCAAACAACCCTGTTCATGCTGCATTTGCCGCTGGTAGCATGGACGCTAGCAAGACTATCCCCATGTATATACATGGGGATGAAGGCCGTGGCAAGAAACGATTGCCGGTGATGATTGTCAATACACATGGAGTGATTGGGGCCGGCTGCCGTGCCTTCGAGGACTACCACAAGGATGCTCCGACCATGCGGAAAAATGCGATGCCGGTTAACATCAAAGGCCACTCAGCAGAGACCCGATTCTTGTCTTTAGTGCTTTCGAAAAAGGCCTACGGCGAAGATTCACAATACCTGCTGAAACTGTTTGACGCTTTTGTTGAAGACCTGGAGCTGCTGCAGCGACAAGGAGTACAGATCCATGGGGAGACCTGGAAATTTGCTTTCATTGGCACCGTGGGCGACCTTCAATTTTTCACGAAGATAGGAGGACTTACCAGGTCATACAATCATGTGAGCAAAAGAAGTGGCCAGCAGATGAAAGCAGGGATCTGTCACCTTTGCCAGGCAGGTCTGCCAGGCTGGCCCTTCGAGCACTTTGGAGATTCACCCGCTTGGCTTCAGTCGGTAGGTGCAGTGGACCCATGGGAGACCCCACCGAGCATGGTTTCGAGGCTTTTTGCAAATCCAGACAATTTGGCGAGTTTCTTCAAACCGGATCTCTGGCATTGCCTCCACCTCGGTGCAGGCAAAGTATTTGTGGCCTCGGCGGTGGTAGAGTGGCTGCCGCATTTGCCGGGCGACGTGGTCGGCCATCTAGTTGGGGGTTTTCTTTGTGGGATTCAAATAGTGGTGTTCTCGATAGCATCGTTTTCTATGGTTGGTTTTCTTTCGGTTTTCCAAATTTTATAACGGTTTAAATGATTGGATTCGATCATGGTTCATATAATTAGCCCGCAAGGCAACAATGTCCAGGACCGCTTCACATATTTCGATGAGTTTGCCCAAACGTACCTGCAGCAGACTGGCAAGACGCTCTATTGCAAGCGACTCAATGACGTAACTCTTGGATTCGATTCTTTTCAGAAATGCCCCCAGGGGGCCTGGCAGAAAGCATCTGACACGACCATAATACTGGAAATATTTGAAGCTTTTTGCGATGCTCACACGGGGAAGGCTGCTGGGGACCCGATTTTGTCCTGGACCCACACGGCTGTTGCTCACTTGAACGCTTGCCTTCGGCTACTTTACAGATGCGGTTTATGGTTGACGCAACAGCAGGCTGCTGAGGCAGCCTGCTGCGGCCTCAACTTCCTGAAATCTTATGGGTATTTAGTGCACTTGACCGGGCTTGCAAATCGAGACAGATTTCCCTTGATACCAAAAATGCACTATATACATCATTTGATGTTGGACATGCAAAAGCAATCTGCATCGGCAGCGTGGAGTTTGAATTGTGTGGGCAGCACAGTTCAAATGGACGAGGACTTTGTTGGATGGAACGCCAGGGCATCGCGACGGGTTGGCGCTCAACACATGTCTTTACGATGCCTACAAAGGTATTTGCTGCAGGCCGCCGAAAGGATAACTCCAGAACATGTGCGGTGGAAGCCCGATCGAAGCCTCCGAAATGCATGACTTGCAAAAAGATGGGTCGACGGAGATTCTACACTTTCGAACCCCAATAACCAGGTACATCCATTAATTGCAGAACCCATCGGGATTTCTGGGTTGATTCCAAGCATACTTTTTCGGACCCTTCGGTTTGACAATCCGGATTTCTGGGGTGAGTCGCGGAATACTTTTTGGGACCCTTCGGTTTATCAATTCGGATTTACGGGGTCAGTCGCGGAATACTTTTCCGGGCGTTCGGGTTTTCCCAGGTTGCTTCGCGGACTACTTTTTTTCCAACCCCCAGAAAATCTATCCCTGAACGCAGGAATAGAAAAAAGTATCCGTTCGAACTTACTGGTCATGCATCACTGGTCTCACTCATGCCGTATACAGTTTGTGATTCGCGGTGTTCCGTACTCAAGCCTAGTATAACCTAGTTCTATTTTCCGGTGACTCATATCTGCACAGCAGTCGCGATTCATGACAAGCTTCCGGTGGCCTGACAACACTTATTAAACTATCTTGGTTGGAAAGGACTGTAGTGACGATACAAAATGAAACTAGCGTGCAACCTCCCACCAACTGAACTAGTATCATTCCAACCACTATATTAAGTAATCTCTTTAGTCTTGTACTCTACTAGGCTTAAACATTAGAACCACTGAGATGTAATGATGTAAGCCTTCACATAACATCACTAGAACACACATGAAAAACTTAGACAACTTGATTTGTATTAACCTCTACACACAGCTAACCTAGACCATTCATGCCAATGCCACTACCTATAGCTGTTCATCTAGTGTTAGTAAGTCATTTTAATACAGCACAAGACAACACATATAATAGTCCTAATGGGGTAGCATTGATTGTACTTAATGGTAAGACATAATGAAAAAGTGCAACAACATAATAAGAGTCATGAAAATCTATGTCAATAGCAGCACTAATTACCAAGTATAATACCGGTTGAACCACCTATTGTAAACAGACTATATGAGAGATATACTATAACAGTTAACATTAGTTGTGAAATAGTATCAGTAGACATGCATTACTTGTCCAGGGATGTAGAATACCAACTACATGATCGTAACGAACAAGTTGGTAATGATCATATAACCAATGTATTAACCTGTAATTAAAGTTAGCTCTTGTATCACTGTTGCATACTAGTCGTAAACATATGATGTGTCCAAACTAATTTATCCTAATAAACAAAGACAACTCATAGCCGCATAGCTCAGGTTATCCGATTATAGACAAGTTAACCAAAGACACTAAACATGCAATAAGCCAGTTATTGTTAAACTATTGATTATCGAATGCTGGAAGGGTAGACTTCTGGATTCCCAAGGAACTAAACCAAACATTGATAGAACATAGCATCACCTCCAAATATGAACCAAATGCTATTGTATTAAATGCATATCTGTTAATAACCTTAATTAGTGAAACATCGCACCTGTTAAGGTTGGTAGAACTATTAATAAGATAGATGATGTAGTCGTAACTGATCTAGTTATATGTTGGTTATGTAGCTTAACATCAACCTAATGATTGCACAATGTGACAAGTATTACAGAAATTATATAGATGTTAATGTTGATGACAGAGCTGATACAGTTAAACTATAGATAATAAGATTGATACCGCGCACATACACACACACACACACACAATTCTCAGCATATTCCTAAAATATGCAAAACGCAGCGGTCGACTTCGACCCCGTAACCCGCTATTCTACTTTGGGATGGCCATTACTTCAGAGTTGAGGGTCCAGGATTAACCCTAGCTATAGTCTCTTGTTGCAGTTCTTCTGTTGGCTTAACCATGTTCGTATTTAGGATCCGACAAGCCCCAACACGAGCTACCCTAAGCCCTAAACCCTATAAACCCTAGACCCTATACCCTAAGCCCTGTAAGCCCTAAAACCTAAACCCTAAACCCTATGAGCCCTAAACCCTATACCCTAGACCCTAGAAACCCCTCAGCCCTATACCCTATACCTTAAACCTTATACCCTAAACCCTATAAGCCCTAAAACCTAAACCCTATACCCTATGATACCCTAAACGCTATACCCTAAGCCCTAAACCCTATGAGACCTAAACCCTGTAAGCCCTATACCCTATACCTTAAACCCTATACTCTATACCCTATAATACCCTAAACCCTAAACCTAAGCCCTAAACCCAGGCTTGGGCTTCGCCTTAGAAAACGTGGCACGGACTTCGCTGATGGCCATGCTGCAGGCGGGTTTAGGTTTTTGGGGCTTTTTTGGTTGTTTAGGGATGTGGTTTTAGGGTTTACAGGGTTCAACGATGTTTAGGGTTTAGGGCTTATAGGTTCGGTGTTGCCCCGGCCCAGTAACAGTTCAAAAATAGGCTTTAGCCTAAACACACAGGCCGAAGAGAGCACAAGGAAACGTGATTCAAGTATGCTTCGCACAAAGACCAGAGAAACGCATATCCGGCACATCCTTCTGCAGCCTTAAGCCCAGCCAAACACCCTCTGCCACCCCGGCCCCCAACCCTCAGTCCACAGCAACCAGGTTTACACTGTTACTATTATTATGACTATATTTCTATTACTATTTCCAACTTGCAACTTTCAGAAGAATAAATATATTGCTTCTCTTGTAGAATAAATGTAGATTGTATAACTACCGTGCATAACACGAAAACCTGACGATGATGACTGTAACACTATGCCGCTCTGTGCCCATGAGTATATGACCATAAGACTACAGGATTAGAATATTTTGTATTACTATCCATATTCTAGACCGTACCTGCTATGATACCTATGTAATAAAGATATGATATTACATAGATGGGCTTTAAGACATGGGTGGTAATGGCATTGCAGTTTACGCCACACCAAGAGTCAAGGGTGGACGGAGAGTACAGACAGCCTGTCGGCAGGCCTACAGTGGGTTGGACAGAGACAGAGTAAGTCTGAGATTAAGCTTGATTTTCCAAGGCGACTAGAAAACATGAAAGCACAAAAAAGGCACAAACTAGCAAGCATGCAAGCAAAAGACACCGCAAAAATCACAACAAACAACCACAAACTAGGAACCACATTCACAAAAGATAGCATTGCAAAAAGCACCAAAAACACAAACTGCCAAACATGATTTCTACCAAAAAGCAAAAAACATATTGAACAAAGCACAAACAGCAAAGCACAAACATACCCACAAAAGAAGGCACAAAAAACAGCACAGAAAACAACACAAACTAGGGAACACATTCACAAAACATAGAACCGCAAAAACCACAAAACAAAAAACAACACAAACTGCCAAGCCTACGCACAAAACAAGCACACGGAAAAGCAACAAAAAAACAAAACACACACACACAAACTATAAAGCACAGGCACAACAAAAATAGCACCAGCAAATTCTGGCCAAACTAGTTTTCCAGAACCGGCCTCCTGGCCTCTCCCTGCCTGAGGCAAAATTTTCCCAGGGCTGGAGCCAGCCCCACAACTCCCCCAGGCCACCTCACAGGTCCCCTCATCTCCATCTTTCTGGGGCAGCTGTGTCTGGCCTTTAAAATTTGACGGCCCACCCGACATTCGCAATTTGCTTTCTGTTAAGAAGAAAAGCACTCGCGCGCACACAGGAGCGCACACCATCACGCGTGACTCCAAAAAGGCAGACGGTTGACTTAGCCTCAGAAGTTCAAAGTTAAGATCATACCTTCTGATGCAGAGACGACATACATGGGTGCTGGATGATCACACTCCATGCGAAGATTGAGTTTTGCTTGTGTGTTTTGTTGTGGGTCTGTTTGTGGTCACTGTTATTCGGCCGGGCAACACAGAACTTATAGGGTTAGGTTTGACCCTGGCATGACAACATGCTGCTGACGTATGAAATCGGTGAGACCGTCTAGATTGAGCTCAGTTTGCGGAGGTCCAGAAAGGCTAAGGTTTCTAATGCACGAGTTCAAGTCATCGGGTTGGGTCCTCATGGACAGACTCCTCGAAGCACTCATCAGGCTTCGGCTGTTGCCGTGTCTTTAACCGCCTGCATTGCAGGAGTGGCGCGCGTCCACAGGACACAGATTCAGAGAAATTCAGCGTACACAGAGAAATGAGGCACCAAGCCTCGAGAGTTTCGAGAGAACACCAGCCCAGGATGCAGCGCTTAGGAATCCATGTGTAACCGCATGCATTCGTTTCGCTCCATGCTCTGTTTGACAACATATCTTTGACTACAACACAGCATGCACAGAAGATAGCTCCAACAGCTTCTCGGCGTGCGCGCTTTCTGTGCTCAGACGTTTTGTAGGGGTTGTAGCGGTAGCGAGCATCCAGATCCCCGTTTCTCATCGCATCTACTGCAATGTTTGGTGTTGGGCATAACTAGTTCTACCGGGGCCAGTCTTTTCCAGGCTTCAACTGGAGCCAGCCCGAGAGCTGGCGCTTTCCAACACGTGCATCTACTCAGGTTATCCTGGTAGCCAGTTTGCAATGCAAGGCATAAACCAGCCTGATCAGCAGCCCCCCCCTCCCCCCAAGCGTTGAGCATCAAGTTGGTGCACCTTCACATCAGCGTGAGGCAACCCAGCCTGTGGATCAGTCGAAGTTGCCTGTGCAAACACGTGTCCAGCAAGTTTTTGAACTCATGACCTCATTGTCTGAGGAAGCAAAAGCTGAGGTATGCAAGAAAGCGCCTGAAATGCTGACAAAGAGTGGGGATGTTGATAGTCTTGTCAGTTCGGTCATCGATTCAGTCGTGAGCTTGGACCATCTTGACGAAGATGGATCTCCGAGTTGTTGCTGATTCGCTTGTTGACTCGCTGGCGCGCTTACGCAAGCACATTGACCTGCATGCATTCGCAACACAAGTTGTGATCCACGACTCGACGAAGACTGCATTGATCAGCCAAAGCTGCAGGGGCAGTGTTGTCCTATGAAAAGGTCAACTCATTGCTGTGGAAACCGCCCAACCACCTCAACCCTGATGACATTCAGCACATGGAGCGGGGCAGCCCTGACAAGATTGCGACGTGTGTGGCCATAAACAAGCTTATGATCCAAAGAGTCATTGAACTCCAACCGTCTGAGTCGCGAAAATTTTGGATCCGAGAAGGAGCCAAACCTATCGCGACCAGCAGCAATGAGCGTGACTTTTTCTTCGGTGTCGTGCCCAAGTTAAACCTCCAAGTATCCAAACCATTAGTGCAAGAGTGCGCATCTTGGATTGCTGCCAATGTGCCAGCACGGTTCCGGAAAGGCGCATCTGAGTTTCATGAAAAGCGCAAAGCCCCCAACAAGAAACGAAGCCGCTGAGGGTGAGCCTGTTCCCAAGCTCCCCAAGAAAGCAAGCTTCGATTTTGGCTCATATTCCGTGCGTGTCTTCGAAGATGATGCGGTTAAGCTCACGCGCAGCTTGACAGGAACCACCCTTGTTTCGGTGAAAAAGGCGAGCAAAGAGCAATCCTTCGATACCAGCTCGCCCGCTCATGCTGCCGCCCTTAAGCTTGACACTGCGCTTGAAAAGCTTGGAGTGGAGGGTCAAGTGCGTGAATCAGTGTATGGCGCTTTCAGGATGGCTACCCAAAACATCGGCCTCAAGTGTGACAAGCGTCAAGCACATCAACTTCGCGGGTGGGTCGCCCGTGCACTGACCTTGGAGCACCGTGACACCGAGTGACCATCGTGTGATGATATCGCAGCACACATTGCTGCGGCACAGAAGCTTCCCTCTCAAAGGAAAGCTCGATGGCGGAGTGTGTTGAATCGCATGATGCTACTCATCTTGGCGTGCATGGGTCATGTTGCGGGAGCCATGGGGGCTCCTGGAAACCATGCTTTGAGCACAGTTTTGGAGATCAGGTTGGCATGCATACCGGTGGTGGTTGAGTACCTGATCGCTTGATCACGACATGTCTTTGGTCAACTATCTGACTCGGTTCCCTGGCAGCAGATGGCTGCACATGTCGCCCATCCCTGCCAACACTCTTTATGAGCTTTGGTGCCCACTCCACTCCTTCCTGTACGGAGGGCGTACCGTGAACTTGTTGAGACGTCACACTGACCATTCCGTATCCAAAGCCCTTCGGCCAGCGGCCAAATGCCAGCGTATTTTTTCGTGCGTGAGAAGGCAACTCCTGAGTTGCCCGCTGCTGCATCCTTCTTCATGCTCCCTGTCGTTGAAGTTCCCGGAGGTGTGCCAGAGACCGTGGCAGCCGAGTGAGTGTTCTTGGGCAACTTCTGCCTCAAGCTGAACACGCCTCATGTGTACAACAAGCATTTGAGCCACCAAGCCTTGGAACGTGTCAGCCCGAAAACTGCGCTGAAGCGCAACACTTTGGGCCCTGTTATGGCTCTTGTTGTCCGTGAGCACACATCTTTGCCTTTGCTTTCCCCTTGCTCCCTTCCTGGTACGCATGTTGCGACCTTGTGCCCCAAGCGCAAGGTTGCCAGACATACGAGGCCCCAGCGTTGCATCGCAAAGCACGTTGAAGCTTCCTTCTAGGCCAAAGCCTGTGGACACAGTTGGTCGCATCCTCACTGCACTGTGATTTGTTCGCCGTGACAAGGTTGCGAAACATGGCTTGAAGCTTCTATTCGTCTTGAAGAATCGGACATGAATCATTGTGCCACATCTTTCACCAGGTGCACAGATGGGCATCGTCTCATCAACGACCCCGTGCTGTCAAGTATAATCGCAAATGTAACGTGTCAAACAAGTCGGGCTGCAGCTGCCGCTGCATCGTGCCGTGTTGACTCTGCCGTGGAGTGGTTCTATTGCCCACGTAAAGCACACCAGAACACTTGTCCAAGGCTTGGTCATGCGGTTCTTTGCCACAGGTGCTTGTCAGTCAACACTGTTCACCAATGGCAGATGAAAGTGTCCTCCTTTCATGCTTCAAGGTTTGTCTTCCATGCCCCTGTGCCCTTTCCCCCCCCCTCCCTCCGCTTTTCTTGCTTGTTTTCTTTCACGGTTCTGTCTCTGTTCGATTTCCCACTGCTTCCCTTCCAAGGTTTGACCCAGACATGACAACATGCTGCTGACGTATGAAATCGATGAGACCGTTTAGCTTGAGCTCAGTTGCGGAGGTCTAGAAAGGCTAAGGTTTCTAACGCGCGAGTTCAATGCATCGGGTTGGCGCCTCAGGGACAGACTCCTCGAAAAACTCATCGTCCTTTCATTCTCTGAGCTTCGGCCTCCAGTGAAGTCTGAGTCTGGGTGGACATCACACGTACAGACTGAGGAGGCGTGTGATGGGTCGTGGGGTCTGCGTGCTTCACTTTCGACCCCGTGTCATCTGAGATCCCCGGCCCACGGGCAACCCCCCCCCCGCACATCAGATCCCCGGCCCACGGGCATACAGCTTTTGCATACAAGATTCAATAAGATACTCGAAAAGCACGCGCAAAAACCTGTCCAGGACCCATACTCAAAGACCGCCCTCCCCATCAACAAAAGCATCAAGTTCAAGCCGGAAATTCATCAGGAACGAATGCAGGCCTCAGGACCTGATCCTTCGCAGCGCGAAGCAAGCTTCAGGTTTAGGGCTCAGGGGCAATCCCTTAAACGCTCCAAGCCCTAAACCGCAGGTGCATAAAGAGGAGAACTGCAAGGAGATGGAAGAGTTCCTCGCAGAGTTCGCGGGACTCCACCAAAGCAACCTGGCAGCTTAAGGTTTGGCGTTTCGGGGTTAAAGGGTTTAGGGCTACCTATCCCTGTAAGGGTCCATGTGCGCATATGAATAATAATTATGTATTTACTTTGGCCGTAGCGTAGTGCCTATGTCAGTACTTTGGGGACAAATTGTATATTGTTTGGGTACATGGGCCCTTAGGGTATTGTTGAGAGCAAGGCGACTTATTGGCTGTTCGGAACCAGTATCACCGAATTGGGATTCTATTGGGTGTAGGGTTTAGGGTAAAACCGAACACGCCACTCCGGAAAAGGGCGCCCTAACTGTTATGAGGTTACTTGGGAATCTAGTTGTTGTTCAGACATGCTTTTGATTGGCCTTGCACTCGTGCCGCAAACTAATATCGGTCAAGTGTAAACCGTTGCAGGACAGCTAAAGAAGTGACTTACGTCCACGAACCCCCAAAAAACAAACCTCTTGGTTTCGTCGACCCTGAACAGAACCATAGAATTCCGATTCCTTGGGTTGGTTGATCCCATTGCAGTCATGCAAAGGTTCGAGGATGAGGGTGTGTTTCTCTGGCCTTGCATAGTGATAGTGGGGGTTTGCGCTCAAAACCGTTTTGCGTCTGACCCGACCCATGAACCATTAAAAACCCTAACTCCATCCCTCATGGGAAATGATTCAATTGTTTCTGGCCTCGTCGGGCCAGAGCGCTCGGTTCCCGGAGGTCTCCAAAGTGGGTGGATTTGTCAAAGGGGCCTTCGTCTTCAGACCTTCCCCAAACCCCTACCTCATAAACTCAGAATTGAACGTAAGTAAAGCCCACGACACGTGCCTCGGTACTGTCTCTATGGGTTGCAACAAACAGCATAGAGAAACAAACCCCGGCATTCCCGGTGGTACCTGCAGCCTAGCCTTGTCTGGGGCTCACCTAGAGGTTCATGCCCTACCCCTCTTTTAGGTACTTACATTTCTATAAAATAGATGCTACCGTCAAGTTAAGAAACTAGGTACTCTCAAAACGCACTAGGGTATGAACGTCCAGGTAGTTCTCAGAGATCCTAAGCCGTTCAATCCCTCCAGAACCCTTGTGGAAACCCTGGTTGCGAACCCTAAACCCTTGAACCCTCAACCCTAAACTCTGAACCCCGACCCTAAACCCCTAGGCCCAAACCCTAAACACAGGCCTCATTTGGGGCAGTCACGTCCTCGGCCTCGAGCGCGCGAGCGACCTCTGTGTCGTGCAACGAATGCATCCCGACAGCAGGATCTCTGCGGGGTTTGGGGTTTACTTACTTAGCCTATTGGAGAACTTTAAACTTTTTGGCTTCATATATTTGGTCTAGCTTAAAAAGTTTGAACTTTGTTTGGGCCTGGCTATTGGAGAAGAGAGTTTAGGGTTACAGGCACTTGGAGGGTCGGGGGACTTAGTAACTGGTTACTTTAGCCCTTTGTCCCCGACCCTCCAAGCAGGATTTCTACAGGATTGTATATGAACGGCTGTAGGTGTTTAAGGTTCAGTTCGTCGCGTTTAAGGTTCAATTATCTGCGCAGTGGATTTCGGGTGGAGGCGTTGTAGCTTTAGGGTATGGAATATACGTTAAGTCCCACGGAATCTTTAAGCAATGCAAGGATGGCATCGAGGTTGCTCATGTTTAGGGTTTAGATCTTCTGTTTCATGGTCGTTGTTTCTGACCAGGATCTTCAGTCCTCCTTACTATGGTTTCCTTCTGTACGTCTTTAACAAGGTAGACTATTTGGAGTTAACGCAACTTGAGGCTCTAAACCCTAAGCCGCAGGTTCCGGGATGGTCGGTTTCGAGCGTTTCGGGCGGGCAGGCCTTTCGGGTGTCGTGCATTTGATACAGCGACCTGAGTACTTTTTTTGGAATTCAATAGTTAAGCTGTGCTGCCCATCCCAATACTTGAACATGGTATATACTTACTATCAGTAGGTTATAGTATACTGTAGTCTGGAGAAAAATGCACTAGAGTTTTCAGGTATAGTCCAGTCTAGTCTGGTCCTTTCGAGACTGGTCTAGTCCAGTTTAGTCTATGTCAGGGAACCCCAAGAGATTATATGTCTAATTATTCAGGCTTCTATGTTGGAGTGGAAAAGTTTCACCACAGAGTTTTCGATAGAGGGTTGATCGGGTTTACGCTCCAGGGTTAGGGTTTAGAGTTGTAGGGTTTACCTAGAGGCTCCATAGTAGTTCCCAAGAAGGAGCTTTGTGGGACTATGGGTGCGAGGCACTCTAGGCTTGCTCAAGAGCGTCTGAGTGTTTCCAACCCCTTGCCCCAAAACTGCAGAGGTGAAAGCACAGCCTTGTGAGCCACAATCCCCGAACTACTTTCCATTCCTAGGACGCCAGCTACCTAAATAGTAGGTTACTGGGGTATATAATATATGGTTAGTAAATGTTAGTAACCTACTACTTGGGTAACTGGAGCGCTGCATTGCCGCAATTCAGTAATAGTGCCCGAATGTTACTACATATATCCAATCAAGTGCTGCAAGCTAAATCCTGTGCAAAATCCGACAAACTCCCTTGGAGACCCTAAAGGACCTATACTTATGGAGTACTTGGGCCGTCAATGTTTGAGCCCAAGCAACACAATGCGAGAGTCGACGGATTCAGATTCTTTTCAGTTCCGAGTGGGGGCGTTTTAGTTCTGGGACATCTAGTGAAATTTAGTGATTCCCTCATCGTGCGGTAACCCTGCCCTTCAGCAGAACCCAGATAATTTAATACGGTTTGTAATTATTGGATGCACAGGCCACGCTTGAACTCTAAACTTATAGGGACCCCTCGGGGGTAAGGGGGACGGGGGTAGGGGACTAATTATACATAGGCCTTATTGGGTCCTTTTTTCGGGCATGAAGGCCCCGTACCCCCCCCTCCACTACCCCCCGAAGGTCCCTGTCTAAGGGTCCCTGTGATAAACCCAAATCTGAGGTATGAGATCTCCGGTACATGGCTCGCTTTCCGCGCTGTTACCGCCCGGATGTGCCTCGTGCAGCCAATGCCCATGCTCGACGTTTTGTGTTTTCTGGCACAACCCTAAACCTAAACCCTAAACCCTAAACCCTTGTCCCAAAACCCTATCGATCCGAGTAACTCGAAACCCTTTCGCTCGGAATTCCGACGCCTGAAACAGCTAACGGTTTAGGGTTTAGGGGGTTTTCAAAATAGGGTCATGGGTTCAGAATTGGGGTTAAGAGTACCGAAGCCCAACGCCTAAATCCTCGAAACATCTAGTACGCATATACAGGGTCGGAGTGATTTCTAACAGTCAATCGTATTCCCTTTGCAGTTGTACTACATTAATAACATAGTCCAGAACGCTGATCCGATCATTGCGGCGCTTGTATCAGCAGAAGAGCCTACGTCCAGATCCTCCCCCAGTATCGTAATTCTCTACTGCAGCCCGCTCAACATTGCCTTGGAAACCCTAGCAGCCAGCCTACCTTGGTGTATGTATGTGATTATGCCGTATGTAATTAAGTGTGTATGTATGTATGTATGCATTTAACTATGTATGTGTTTGTATATATAGGTGTATATATATATATACACATATAGAGAGAGAGGGAGAGAGAGACATATATATATATATATATATATATATACACATGCTTCACCTCCTCAAAGGTCGTTATATATGTATATACACATGTGCTATTGTTTTGCATGTATATTTATCTGTCTACATATGTGTATGTAGTTATATGTGTACGTGTATGTATGCGTGTCTGTGTATGTATGTATAAGCATATATATATATATAGATATGTATATATGTATATGCATACATATATGATATATCATAATATAGTATACTGTAGTAGAATAATAGTCCAACATATTAAAGTCTAGTTTTATACATATATATATATATCTATATATATGTCTATATGCATATAAATTTATGCATATACATATGCCTTTATTTATATGTGTGTACACACAAACACACAGACACACATGATGGGGACCTTAAGGGACAGGAGGTGCCGGCACTGGCAGTTTCACACTGCCCTAAATCCTGCCACCGGAAGCCAAGGCAGATCAGCGAGACTCCCTTTCACTCTAGTCTAATCGCCGATTTCCGAGCCGCGAAGGCACTAAAGCGGGTTGCTGGGACACTTCTGTCATTTCGGGGGCCCAGCTTTCTAGAATTGGTAGGGAAAAAGGACAAGGATCGCTTGCCTCCAATTTCGCCACCATCAGCTTTGTCCGGAGGGAAGATCGTTGAGAGTGTGGAATGGATATCAAATTTAAACACCACAAAACCTTGGCAGATTATCAATGTGCTTGTCTTCGACCGCAGTCTGCGCAAAATAGCGCTTGGCCCAAAGTACTAACATCGGCTGGTTTTTGAACTAACCCATACGGTTTCTCAGTTCTCAGGGTCCTGTCGGGCGAGGGTGGTTGTCCTGGGCCCTGATAGTAGTGTTCCTATAGTCCTTGTTGTAAGTATAATATATTGACAAATTGTTCACCCCAGTCTAATTACTGAGGCCCTTAATTTCCAATCTGGGTTTCTTGCGTTACTAGTACCCATAGGCTGCATAGTAGTTCCGTTTTGGGATTATGCTAGAGGATTCTAAATGTGAAACCCATACAGGAACTACTATGGAGCCTCTAGATAAACCCTAAAACCCTAAACCCTAAACCCTGGTACGGGTAAGCTGCATCGCTGGACAGAGCCGTTGAGTTCTCAACTCTGGGTTGACGATTGACGGCGATCCTACCTCATTCTCGTCGCCGTCGCTAATATAGGGGCGTTTTTTGCTGAAAAATACTATTTTGGGGGCTCCTTACTATATTTGTAGTTTAATGGGCCCCAAAACCCTATTCTAGTTATTAAGGCCCCTACAGTAACTCGCTCACGTCGCCTTTGGGCCCTTGACCCCATTTGCCCTAAATCCACACCTCCCTTCCCCAAAAGAAGATTGAACCCGAACCTGCACTCTGAAGCCCTAAGCGCCACCATTCACATACATTTATATATATATATATATATATATATGTACATATATACAGATAGATAGATCGATGGATCCGTTGCCGTATACTTTAAACGAATCTGCAAAGGAACCCTTCTGGGAACTCTGAAAGGCACACTGAAGCCTTTGCTGCCAGGCAGGAATTCATAGCAGCCTCGGCAAAGCTAGCGACGTGCTTCACGGCCCCTTGGCTTGTAAATGACAGCGGGGGGGGTTCTAGAAGAGCCATTTCGGTGTTTAAGATTTCCTTCATAGTTATTTCAGGGTTTTACGGTGGCTTGGAGAATTGTTCGGGGTATTAGGTTTAAGGCTGCAGGTTTCGGGATTTCAGGGTTGGGGTTCAGGGTTGAGGGTTGGTTGGATTGAGAGCTTACACGTATTCTAGCTGCTAGCGTTTCAGTGTTACAGGGGGGCAAAATCCCCCTAGAAAAGTTAAGGCACAACAGGAACGAGAATGGAAACGATGCATGCACTAACTTGTTATACCTCCTACAGAAGAGCAAAAGCCCTGCTGGTCGGTATAGTTTCGGGAAGATACACTGCACGGTGATGGCAAGACCTATATTGGTCAGGGTATGTACCCATGTTCCCACAATCCTCAGCCATATTGGGAAGCCATTGAATCTGGCTTCGCAGTACCTTCCTTGTGGAGAATTTGTGTCTACTTCTAATGTACCGTATATAGGTAGTACTTTTAGGCCAGTTGGGCACATGGACTCTCAGGGTTATGACGATGCAAGAAGGGAGCATCCAATAAGCGTGAGCTGCGGACATCTACAGCCCTCGGGCTTCATGGAATTTGTCATGTGTCCTCGCTTTGTGAAGCTTTGAAGCCCGCACATACGGGCACCCACAATACATTCCCTAAGCCATATGAGAGGTTCCGAAAATAGAGGATCCTAATACAGTATCTTTAAATCGTAGGGTCCTTATTGTAAGGACCCCAGAATAAGGTGCCATAATTTTCGGAAACCCCTTTTTATAAACCTCAAGCAATGAGAGCCACAACATAGTACAGCGCCTCAGAAAGTCACAGCCCCGTTGCAACTCCATGCACAACGTAGGGTCTAGGGTTTAGCAGTTTATTCCTGCGTGGTTTAGGCCCATACCTCTTCAGGTGACAGTAGTTCGTGCTCCTTCTCCTTCACAGAATCCAAGTGGCTACATGGGGCAGAGGACACGCCGAGTTTAGTGCAGGATTGAGGTCGTTTTACTCAGGGGTACTTAGAAATAACTTTTAATCTTTTGTTATTATAATCCCTAAGAAACAGCTAAATTACAATTTTTGCTAGGGTTCTAAGTCCAGTACTTAATTTTCGAGGTTCGGCTGGAAGAGTCTGGGATTTGGGAGTAAAGCCACACTTCAATGTAGAGGGCTGCAAACTGACCGCGTCATCTGGTTTCCGACTATGTGGTTAAAAGGGTCTGCAGTTCAGTCTGAGTGCCACCATCACTATCACCTTCATTATCATGCCGGTGATTGGGCCAGACAGATAGTGTCACGCATGCTGCTTGCTTGTAGTTGCTAGTAGTCAGTAGTGCGGTTTCTCGCATGAACTTAAACACTATAGAAATGACTTGTCCTACTGTAGTGTATAGCACTGGTGCATATTCCCATGGTAGCACTCGTACAAGTCGATAATTTACGGAACCCATGTTGTTGTCTGTTGTGGGTGCGCCGGGTGCGCCGGGGCGGTGTGCTGCAAGTGAGTGCGAGAACTCCTCGTGCGCCCGCAGCAAGCAAATCGCGCCGCGCACCGGCGCAAAAAACAAGCACGGAAACCTGCAGCAAAAAAAAGGCGCCGGGCACCCGCAGCAAGAAAGCACCCACAACAACAAAAAAACTCACACCGAAAATGTACAGTAGTAGCAGTAGTAACAGCACAAGGGGTGCGGGTACTACAGCTGCTTCGATACTCATTAATTGTACTGTTATTCGGCTAGAAACACTCCTACAAATTCCTACACAAACCCTGGCAAACTTATCTAAAAGTCATAACACTCTACAAACTGCTAGACAATCCTACAGAGACCACCCGAGAACGGGTCACCTGGGTTCGCCTGCGTGCCAAAGGCGGCGCAGCCTTCTTCACTGTGTCAGTGTTCTTAGGAATTGTGTCGTGTTATATATATGTATATATATATATATATATATTCAAGCTCCGAAGGATTATTGAGCTTATTGAGCATATTAAATCTGCTTAAGTATGGTTCTAAGGGCGCTTAAGAATAAGGGTTGAGGGTCTTGTGGTTTTAGGAGGTTCAGTTAAAAATATGATTGAAGCCCCAAGCGACAGAAACTCGCTACTGCAGCCTGAAGAAACTGAACCCTACTTCTGGCTCTCCTTTAAACAGGATCCTCATTGAGAGGGTCTATATCCCCAAAAGTCTCGTCATCCTAACTCCTACTTACAGGCTCATGAGACTTAGTAGGTAAGGTTATATGTTATAAGTAGGTTATAAATGGGATAGGGGACTTATATCCTCAGTTGTAACCTACTTACTAAGTCCCATGATCCCTTAAGTAGAGGTAGTACCTGTTTGTTGACTCCTTGCTAAACCCTAAACCCTAAACCCTAAACAATTAGGGGACAAAAAAGCACATAAGCACAAGCATTTTATAGGGACATCCCTACCATGATGGGCTTCCTTCTAAGGGGGTTTATATGGGATATCCCTATCCTAATTTTTGCTTATGTGCTTTTTTGGGGCTCTAAACAAGAAGCTGCTGTGCCTCAGGGTTCCTCATCATAGCTACCACATACACTTAATCCTGTTTTCATGTATCGTTCCTCCTATAACAAGCCCCTGAACCCTGAACACGTATCATATGGAGTATAGAGGTCTGATTGATTGGCTCAAGCTGTGCGATCATATCTCCAAGCCCTGTTTAGCGAGACTAGGCCCCCCCAGCTAGTAGTAAAGTAGGTAACCTTTAACCTTTTATGGGTAGTATATTCCCTATATGGGGGTTTCCGAAAATAGGGGTACCTTATTTGGGGTTCCTTATAATAAGGATCCTACTACTTAGGGTACTATATTAGGGTCCCCTATTTTCGGAAACTCCCATATAATCCTTTTATAACCAAGAAGGTTAACCTTTACTTCCCCATGGTACCCGACAAGTAGGCCTAGCTACAGTCCAAAGCTTCCCGAACCGCCCCACAAAGCCAAGAGGCCGAACATGGTTGCGGCTGAATGGTTATTGACGGTTAGTGCAGGGCCCTTCATAATAAGAATATTGTTTCCTTTAAGGGGTCCTCTAAAGGGGTTCTATAGGGGATCTATAGTAGGATTCTATGATATAGGGGCCTTAATAATTAGAATAGGCTTTGGGTATAGGCCCCTCCATTAGCAATACTAGTCCTTAGCCGGTTTCTTAACGAAGCTGTAGACTAGGAGGCGCCATAACCCCTTTCGAATTGTCAGGCCCCTCCATTGAACCTTAAGCCCCAAATACATGAGGTTGTGCGGAAACCCAATTTTATTATGGGAGTTTCCGAAAATAGGGGACCTTTTCTAGTACCCTAAATAGTAGGAAATAAGGTACCCTAATTTTCGGAAACTCCCCTATAGACCCTAAACCCCAAAACCTAAACAGGTGTTCAAATCTAACCCTAAACCCCGAACACCTAAACCCATTGAGACATTCCCAGACAGCTCATAGGGGCCCTTAGGGGGGGTAGCGGGAGGGGGGTAGGGGACTAGAAATCGTGTTTTAGGCCTTATTAGGTCCTTACTATGGGACAGCTCCAGGAGAAGAACCGGCTCCGGGTACTGGTGCAAGCGGCCATTCGGCGCTTTCTACAGGCAGGGCCTGTGTAGAGAATTTGGGCTTTAGGGTTTAGGGGTCGGGGCTTTGGGATTAGGGTTTGGGGCTTAGGATTGGGGGTTTAGGGTTTGAGGATTAGGGTGTGGAGTCTAGGTCTAGGGGTTTAGCGGGCGTAATTATGGGTCCTAAATGGGGTCAGAGTTCAGGTTTAAGGTCTGCGACCTCACACCCTATAGGTCTCTTGTGGATATAACTTCATCCAGATACTTGGGATTAGAATGAAGTTCTCCTTCGACCCTAAGCTAAACCGATGCAGAGTTCTTGTTGCCAGGGGAATGTCTCGAAAGCTTGGCCCCGCCACAACAGCCCAAAAGACACAGGTCCGCTTGTCCAGGAAACCGAAACCCAGACCCAAGAAGATGTCCGAGTGCTCACAGAGGCAGGAGCCATTAAGGTAAGGAACGTGCCATTTTCCATCACTCAACTACAGCGTTTTCTATTTTCAGGAGCATTCCTCATTTCCTAGGCACTGAGTCTGTGACCGAAAACCGTTTTGGGTATATGTGACCATGCCACAAATTGAAGGCTGAGCCCTTAAACCCTAAACCCCAAGAAATAAACCTGTTTGGGGCGTAAAATGCTCTACGAGATCCGAGCGCCGCCGACCAGAAGGCACAGATTTGGGTACTAGACCTTCTTCCCCGTGAGGCTTTCTTCGATGAAGTAGGGGCATGAATTAGGGTTCAGCGCTCAGAGTTTAGGGGAGTGTTTCGGGTTTAGGGTTCAAGGTTTGCAGGCTCCCGTGTGTACTTGTTGTTAATCCTCGTCGGGTTTAATGAGGCATTACATGAAGAGCATTGCTTTCGGTTGCAGTGAGTTTCGGAGCGCTTTACGTACCTGGTGTGCTTAAGGAGTCCTCGAATCCTAGAGTCAATTAAGGTCCAAGTCGAGCCTCAAGTCTTAACATGCCTGTAGCGTTCAACCCCAACAGTGCTTCGAGTGCGCAATGTTTGGAATCTAAGGGTTTAAGTCTTGTTTGGGGGCTTGGGTTTCGAGCTTGTGGTTTATGGTTCAGGGTTCTGTTTCGGGTCTCTTGATGTAGCATATTTTGATCGGCGTGTTCAGCAGATGGACTACTTAAGGCTGTAGTTAGGATGTTGTGAAGAACCGGCAGGACAAGACGACAGCGGCTGCCCCATGTCATCCCCAAAGCCGTAAAGCCCCAACGCACACCCATGGTGATTCTATGCATTATGTCTTCGAACACGATGTGCAAGCTGATCAAGTTTAGCAGTGTAACCCGAAATCAAAACTAACCCTTGGCCTGCATCAACACTTCCGACACCTAAACCCTTAACTCTACCCCGGCCCCTAAACCCCTAAACCCTAAAAACCCGGCCACTCTGTTAACCCTACCCCGGATCCTAAACCCTAAACCCCTAAAAACCCTAAAAACCCGGCCACTCTTTGCCAGTTGAAGATGGAGGGCGGTGATTCGGTTCAGCGCTTGGTTACTCGTCAAGCACCATCGGGTTTTGGGTTTAGCGTTGTCTGCCAAGGAGCCTGAACTGATTTTAAGGGCATGGTGCAACCCTCAACATCCTAATCACATCCTCGTCCTTTGGCCTTGGGGTTACGGTTCCAAACAGCATAACGCACTGTACCTTTCCAAACCCTTTTCGAATTATGAAGTTCCCTACATTAATCCTTAGGGGTACTTAGAAATAGTTTTTATTTTTTGGTTGTTATAATCCCTAAGAAACAGCTAAAATTGTAATTTTTGCTAGGGTTCTAAGTTCAGTATAGTATCCTCTACGGGCTTGGGTGTCTTGCGGACTTGGGGCTGTCGGGATGTCATCAGCCTAAGGCTTCTGTTCCCTGCTCACCCCAAGGGTCCAAAGGACCCAATAATCAGGTACTGGGTTTCAGGACAGTAGTTATATAGGTTAGGATTTCGGAGAGTATATGATTATTGGGTACTGTGACCCTTGGGGTTAGATGAACTTCTGCAGCCGCTTCTGGGTGCCACCTATAGTCTCCATTGTAGTTCCTTTTTTGGGTTACGCAGTTTTATTGTTTGGAGCCTACAATAGAGATTTGGTTAACCCAAAAAAGGAACTACAATGGAGACTGTAGGTACACTGAAACCATTGTGTCGTTCTTACAGCATCTGCGGCCTCGCCAGCACAAGCTCTCTGGACTTACCCTAAGGCTCCAAAGTAGTTCCTTTTTGGGGTTCATATATAGAATCCTATAAAGTAATCCCAAAAAGGAACTACTATGGAGCCTCTGGGTACAGACCCAGATCAAGCCGGAGCTGGAGCACTTGACAGCAACAAGCTCAAAAGAGGCGAGGAGATACAGTGGGCCTCCGATGCCCGCGTTAACCCTAAACCCTAAACCTTTTAAAACCTAGATCAACCCTAAACCATACACCCTAAACCCTAAAACGCTCTGGCGTGGTAGCAGAGAATTCTGTTCTCCGTTTATGCCACAAGGAGGCTTTCCAACACTTTTGAACCTCCAATGCTAAACCTCCCAACCCTGACCCCTAAAGCCTCAACTCGCAACCCAAAATCCCGCAATCCTGGCCCCTAAGCCCTAATCGTAAACCTTTCAACCTGAAACGGTTTGGGCAGGCTTGTCCTTTTTAAGTCATCGTAGGCGCAGCTTCGTCGACAAGACTGTGTATGTCTGTATATATGTACATTGATATGGGCCATATTCCGTTATATTATCACGGAATGCATGCACTTGTTCATTCACTCATTCATTTATTCTTTCATACACGCATACCTACATAACATAAGGAACCGATGGTCGCCCCCAAGTCGACGATATGACATCAGCAGTCAATCGATCGCCTCATTTCTCAATCCCTATAAATGCAACATGGCTACCTGAGCCCCTGTGGATTCATGGGGTTCAAACTGGGTTTGTGGCGAGGGCCGTGGCTTTGGGAGTGTGGTGTTCTTTATGCTCGTGCTTTCTGGCTGCGGTATTGGTGCTGCGATGTAATGTAATTAGACATGCAGGTTAAGGGGCGCTTAGGATTTATTTCTACGGCGTATGGAATCAGGCTTTGTGCATAGATTTGGGGTTTTGTGTGCATGTCGCTGGTGGCCAGCACTGGAGGCATCTGCTGTGCTGCATGCGGTGTATAGTTTCAGGTGACTGAATCGAGGGTGGGGCACGACAAACTGAGGCTGTACCCACAAGATGAGTTGCGAAAGTATGCAACTTTTTTTGGTGTCATTAGCTTCGTATGGTGTGTGAACCATGTTGGCCCCGATCTCTGTCCCTCTCCCTCTCCCTCTCTCTCCCCTAATAAACCCTAAAGCCCTCATATCTAAACAGAGTGGCTCGAGGAGCGTGGGGATGAGGACTCTAGGGTTTAGCGGTTTGGGGCTTGCCGTTCAACCCCTCTCTTGGGTGATACATGGAGGCTCACGGGACTTGGTAAGGTACTTGGAGGCCCTTTTGACTTAGTAAGTAGGGTTAGTAAGGTAAGTTACATGGGGATTATAATAGGGTTTCTAGGGGATACTAAGTAGACTTACTAAGTCAAAAGGGCCTCCAAGTATAGTGTATAAGTACTTTAATTGGAGTTATCAGTCATTATAGACTCTAGTTGCCTTGTTTATAAGCCTGGCTACTAAGTCGCATGATCCCCCCAGTAGACTCTAACTATTTAGGCATTTGAGGTTTAGCGCGAAGTCCCTTCACAGAGGCGCCCGCAGCCTTTACAAATCGGCGCTTGGGATTTAGCTTGTTTCAGGCATCTGTGTCTAAACCCTACCTTAACCTGCCAAAGCCTACTTTTTGTAGGGTCCCTATATTTTCTATACTCGAGTTTATAATCAGAACCTACAAGAAAGGTAGGGTTTGGTAGATTAAGGTAACCCTAAACGCGCTTTCGGATGGTGGCGTTTTCGTCTCTCTTGCTTGGAGCGTCGGGGGACTTAGTAGGTAGGTAGTAAGTAGACTTACAAGTACCCGAAAAGGGACCCTAATTGGGGTTATGATACTTATAAGTCCCTAAAATAACCAGTTACTAAGTCCCCCGACCCTCCAAGTAAACCCGGATCTCCCCCACCCGAAACCGTAAGCCGCTGAACCCAAAGCACCCACGGCCACCATGATCTGGGAGTTTCCGAATAGTAGGGGTACCTTATTTACTGTTTAGGTTACTATATTAGGGTAACCTGGATTTAGGGGTTCGGATTTATGAATCCAAAGCCCCTGAACCCTGAGCTGGAATCCTTATCCGTTGAGACGTCGATCTGCTGCAGTGAAATCCTAGCCGCTTCACTTGCTTAAACTATCTGACCGTAAACTGAAGCCTAAGACCTGAACTTAAACCCTAAAACCTCTAATCCGTGACAGAACCCTTGAAAGCAATTAAGCCCCAAACTCTTACCTAGAGGGTCATACCCTACCCCTTTTTCAGGGTACCTAGTTTTATGGTTAGGTTCTCTTATATAGAAAAGTAGGTACCTTAAAAAAGGGGTAGGGTATGACCCTCTAGGTAGACTCTAGGATTACAGCAACCCCTAAAAGAAACCTGACCGTTCCCGCTAAAGGAGCCCCAACAGTACCCTTAAAGGCCCCGCTACTTGGAGGGTTGGGGGACTTAGTAAGGGGATTCTAAGGGTTCCTTTAAAGGGCTCTATAAGGGTAGTATAGGGTTTAGGGTTTAGGGTTCAGGGCTTAGTAAGTAGGTAGTAAGTAGACTTATAAGTACCCTAAGAGGGACCCTAGTTGGGGTTCTGGTGCTTATAGTTCCCCAAAATAACCAGTTACTAAGTCCCCCGACCCTCCAAGTAGTACCCTGGTGAGGGTGACAGGAGACCCTGTCGATCTGAGGAAGTAGTGCAGGACATGACTGAGGCATCGAAGGCGGCAGCGCATCTGCAAGTTAGACACGGGGTTTAGGGTTTAGGGTTTGGGGTAGGGTTTAGGGTGTCTTATGAGGGTGTGCACCGAGTGTTTTATTGGGTTTTCTGTGGCCCGTACACGGCTTTCGGGTGTTTTATAATAGCAAGAGGAAGAAGGCGGACGGCCTGGACAGCAACAAGCGTATTCAGAATACATTGTTTGTTGGTGTCATATTGAAATGCTGTTCCACATAATGCGAATACCAACAACACTGCTGCTATTGTTACAGTACTGCTACTGCTACTGCTACTGCTGCTATTGCTGCTGGTGCTGCTCCTGCAACTGCTCCTCCATTCCCTGTTCTCGAGAATTGTCTTCGTGGGTTGCGGCATCTCAGGGCAATGTTAGAACTCACATGTGGAGGCTCTCGGTATACAGACGGGCGTCGGTTGACCATGAAGTGCGATAGTGAGGTGAGGGCCTTCCCTGTACAAGCTCCAAACCTGCTGCGCCATACATATTGTCAATTCGAGACCGAAGCCGAACGAATGCGGAATGACGAGGAGCAGCACCAACAAAGCCAACTGCTCATTCCCTCCCGTTCACACCGAGGCCAAAAACGTGTTTGAAGGCAACTACTTGTCGTTCATGCCACCTCCGCCGACGCAAGAGCGGCGCCCTCGGCTGGCTGCTGCTCATAGTGCTGCTGTTGCCTGTGCAGCTGCCACTACCACTACCACGACCACTACCACTACTACGACGACGACGACGACGACTACTGCGACTACTACTACGACGACTCCTACTACCACTACCACCACTACTACTACTACCACCACCACGACTACTACTACTACTACTACTACTACTACTACTACTACTAATAGTACTACTACTACTACTACTACTACTACTACTACTACTACTACTACTACTACTACTACTCTACTACTACTACTACTCCTACTCCTACTCCTACTCCTACTCCTACTCCTACTCCTACTGCTACTGCTACTGCTACTGCTCCTGCTGCTGCTGCTGCTGCTGCTACTGCTACTGCTACTGCTACTGCTACTGCGACTACTACTCCTATGCCTACTACTGCGACTGCTGCTACTACTACTGCTACTCCTACTGCTACTGCTACTGCTACTGCTACTACTACTACTACTACTACTACTACTACTACTACTACTACCTCTACTACTACTACTACCTCTACTACTACTACTACTACTACTACTACTACTACGACTCCCACTATCACTAACACTACGACTACTACTACTACTACTACTACTACTACTACTACTACCAGTGCCTCTACAAGCACCACTATCAGTACCCCTAACTCTAGCACTAGCACTACTACTACTACTACTACTACTACTACTACTACTACTACTCTTACTGCTACTGCTACTGCTACTGCTACTGCTACTATTATTACTACTACTACTACTACTACTACTACTACCTCTACTACTACTACTACTACTACTACTACTACTACTACTACTACTACTACTACTACTACTACCTCTACTACTACTACTACTACTACTACTACTACTACTACTACCTCTACTACTACTACTACTACTACTACTACTACTACTACTACTACTACTACTACTACTACTACCTCTACTACTACTACTACTACTACTACTACTACTACGACTCCCACTATCACTACCACTACGACTACTACTACTACTACTACTACTACTACCAGTGCCTCTACAAGCACCACTATCAGTACCCCTAACTCTAGCACTAGCACTAGCACTACTACTACTACTACTACTACTACTACTACTACTACTACTACTACTACTACTACTACTACTTCTACTACTACTACTACTACTCCTACTACTTATTACTACTACTACCACCACTACCAGTACCACACCAGTACCACTACCAGTACCCCAAACACTACCACTAGCACTGCTGCTACCACTACTACTACTACTACTACTACTACTACTACTACTGCTGCTACTGCTCCTCCTCCTCCTCGCGCTCCTGCTCCTGCTAAGCGGCTGACGACGACGAAGATCACAACTACGACTTCTCCCAACAGACGAGTCCGGGTATGGGGAAGCTAGAGCGGTCCCGTCGGGGTTGACAAGAGGCAGGGTTTATATAGGAACCTGATTAAGAAACCTTGGGCCCAGGGGTTCCTGTAAATGGGTCTATAAGGGCTAATATAAGGGATCTATAAGGGTATACTAATGTAGGAACCTGATTAAGACATCTTGGGTCTTTATTGGGGTCCCTTATATGAATCCTAATGTATTGGGGCTATAGGGCCAGGGTTCCTTAATCAGGTTTCTACATTATATCATGCTTATTCAGGCCTTTCAACGTCCCGGCATTATAGATGCCTTAGTAGCTGAGTGGATGCACGTTACACTTTCTTGGATAATACTACTACACAACTAAAAGCGTACACGTTGTGGGGCTCATGACCTCAGCAATTAATAAGGTACTGTTCAGATCGAGGACAAAAGCTTGACGGGTACTTGGACCCTTAGGATTATGGCTTCAACTCTCACCTCGAACATGGCCGTTCTCAAAAGCCAACATATACACGGCTCACAAAACCCTCGCGCTTTTTGGTGGTGTATAAGATTCAGGAGTTAGGATTCAAGGCCCAGTATTCTGACAGCTTCCTGCCGCAATGAGGCTACTCGATGATGCTGCTTTGATTTGGGACAAGTGGCACGCCATCGAGGAAGAAATTGTGTTGGCCGCTGTCTTAGTCGCTCATTTTTTTTGCACAGGGGTGCGCATGCGAGGAACATCGCACTTTGGAAGAAGAAGCCCTAAGGCCAAACCGTTTGCTGGGTCCCCATGATCCATGATGCCCCAACAACCCAGAAACTCCAATTTCCCCTAATTAAGGAATATCCCCCAAATTATAGTAGGATCCCTAATATGATTTACGGAATATTCCTTAATCAAGGGATGTCGGAGTCGCTGGGAATCACCCTTCGCCTCGTTAAGGACGTGGTTGGTGTTTTCGTTTGTTGCTTAGTCTCCACGTCTCAGGGTTTAGGGTTTAAGGTTTAGGGTTTAAGGTTTAGGGTTTCGAAATTAAGGTTTAGGGTTGAGAATTTCAGGCTTAGGGTTTAAGGTTTAGGGTTTAAGGTTTAAGGTTTTCCCGTCAGAGAGTGAGCGCATTGCAAATCCGACGTAAAGCGTTCCTTACTTGGAGGGTCGGGTGACTTAGTAAGTAGGTAGTAAGTATACACTTAAAAGTACCCTGAACGGGACCCTAATTGGGGCTGTGGTACAAGTTTATACAACTCCGTAAAACAACCAGTTACTAAGTCCCCCGACCCTCCAAGTAGAAGGGATCTATAAGGGTTCTGTTGGGGATTTAAGGGCTCAGGTTACTAGAGGGGCCTGAGCAGCTATAATAGGACTCCTTAGCTAAAATTAAGACTCCTGTATTCTCGAATTTCGAAGATCCCTAAGCGTTGTAAGACCCCTAAATCTTGGGTACGGCCCCCACTCAGTAACAGTTGGATAATATTCATAATATAGATATATAAGGCCCTTAATAATAGCCCTAGTATAGACTGTTACTGTATGGCGGCCGTACCCAACCTAAATCTTACATCCCACAGGCCCTACGACCCCAGAGCGCTGTAGCCCTGCATTATGGCACCCTCCAAATCCAGCACACAAACTGCAAACTTGCAAGCCCAGACCTAAACCCTAAAGCCGAAAATACCAGAGCCGCAACCCTAAACCCTAAAGTTCTTTCAAAGGAACCCTTCAGAGAGACCCGCAAGCCCTGAAATAGCATCCCGGACCCTGAACCCTAAATCCTTATGTGAGGAACGCTTACGAGAGCCCTAAACCATCTAACCCTAAAGCCCTAAACCCGAAAGCCCCCATTAAAGCAGAGCCCTAAATCCTAAAACCCTGTAAACCCTCCAAACCCCACACAGACCCCATAAGCCCTAAACCCTAAACCCTAAACCCTAAACTGAAGCGAGCTGCGGGCGCTGCGAATAGCAGCAGCGAGCGTGCCGAAGCGTCAGTGAGGCTGGCTCCGGTGGCGCGACAGGCGCAGCGGAGGAGCCTCAGCACCGGCTCAGGTGCTGGCGCATGCGACAGGCATGCTAGCCAATCAGAACAAAAAGACCCTAAACCTCCAACCTCAGAATTCGCATTTCTCTACCTGGATCTGGGCCTGCCTGGGCCTGGCCTCCTGGCCTGCTGGTCTTGGCCGGCCCTTGCCCTGGCCGGCGCCAGGGCAAGCTGTCTTGCTCCCTCTCTGCTGTCCTGCTGCCTGCGCCTGCCTGTGCCCCCTGCCTGCCCTGCCCTGCCCTGCCCTGCTCTGCCCTGCCCTGCGCTGCCCTGCACTGCCCTGCCCTGCCCTGTCCTGTCCTGCCCTGCCTCTGCCATGCTTGCTGATTTTGGGCCACCGCCAGACCAAGCCACAAACCTTGAAAAAAACCCTAAACCCGACAAAGGTCATAGACTGGGTGGGCAGGTAGGGCGAGAGCGTTGAACCTAGGCGCACACCACAACACACGTCTCGCGTGGTGGTGTGCGCGGAGCATCCACCCTAAACTCTAAACCCTAAAGCCCTCCATAGAGCCCCTAAATTCGGCTTGAAAAGGAACCCTGAAAGTAACCCTAAGCCCTTTATCCTTCAAGGAGCCCTGAACCCTAAACCCAACCCTTAAGGGCTTTACATTAGGTCCTTTAGGGGTTTAAGGTTTAGGGTTCTTTTCCGGGTTCTTTTAAGGCTTCCTTGACAGGTTCCTTTACCCATGTAGTTCCATTTTGGGACTACCAAAAGATTCCCAAATATGAACCCCAACAAGGAACTGCTATGGGGCCTATGGGTAAGGGTTCCTGTAACTGGGCTTTGGCGTACCATACGTTACTGTTTTTCCTCAAAGGAACCATTATGAAATAAACGTCTACATTTTGTCTCCCTGGTTACTTAGAAGCCCAGTTAGGGTAGGGTCTTTTAGGAGTTTAAGGTTTAATTAGGGTTGCTCTGAGTCTTTGACGGTTTAGGGTTTAGGGCTCCTTGGAGGATAAAGGGTTTAGGATTACTTTCAGGGTTCCTTTTCAAGCCAACTTTAGGGTCTCTATAGGGCTTAGGGGGTCTTCGGGGTTTAGGATCTAGGGCTCCCTTTTAACGCGGGCTTTTGGGTTTAGGGCTCTAGGGCTAGATGGTTTAGGGCTCTAGGGCTTATGGGGTCTACGGGGTTTATGGCTCCTTTGAATCCAAGGGTAAAAGGAGGGACCCTTAATAAGGACCCCTAGGTATATACCCTTAATATAGCTATTCTATACCCATTATATAGCCCCTTTATAGGGTAGGGGTCCCCATTAAGGGTCCCTCCTTTTCCCCTTTGATACTTGTCGGGTATCATGGGGAATCGGAACTAAAGGTTAACCTTTTTGGTTATATAGGGATTCTATAGGGACTATACTACCCACAAAAGGTTAAAGGTTCCCTACTCTACTACTGGGGTTGGAAGGGTTTATAAGGCTTTAAATGGGGCTCCAGGGGCCCTAAACCCTCAACCCTAAACCCTAAACCCTGAAACCCTAAAACCTTAAAGCTAAGGAAAAGAGGCGTCAAAACAAAAAAAAACCTTAAAGCCCTATAAGGAAGCCTCCTTTTGTTTGAGGCCCTCAACTCCGATCAGGAGCTGGCCAACGAGGCACCTTTTTCTGATTTTTTCTCTTGCCGGATCTGAGGGTTTAGGGGTTTAGGCGTTAAGGTTTGGGGTTTCAGGTTTAGGGTTTAGGGATTAGGGTTTAGGGTTTAAGGTTTAGGGTTTGAGGAGTAGGGTTTAGGGTTTAAGGTATTAGGGTTTAGGGGTTAGGTGAGGGATTGCGGCTCCTTTACGGGTTTAGGTTCCCATCAAAGGTTCAGGGCTCCCTGAACGGACTATGGTTCAAGTTTCGGATTTGGGGCAAACGGGGCCTAGGGTTCAGGGTTCCTTATACCTGAATGTCCTAAACTTCCTAAACCCTTCTCAGCGCCGGAAACCCGTAACCCTGCTTGTTGGTCCAAAACCAAACCTTTCAACTTTTGGGCTCTTATGAGGTATCCTTACTCTGAAAGTCTGAGCTTTTTAGCCCTGTGTTTTTGGCTTCAAGGCCTAACCCTAAACCCTAAATCCTAAACCCTAAAACCCTAAGCTTTTCCTGTTCCTTGAACCCTAAACCCTAGGCCCCTTTACCTTCGACTCCAGAAGACCTACACCCAAAAACCCCTAAGCTTCTGTCACAGAGGGGCTTTAATAACTAACTGTACTATTTTGGGGGCGTTCCTCATTAAAACTATTGTATTGTGGGCCCCCAAACCCTGTTCTAAATATTAAGTTTTGGGTCTGGGGTTTAGGATATTAGGCCCTATAGTACCCAAAAGCTGCCGTCACTGCGTGAGCCTGAGGACCTCGCGAATGACATCTACGCCAAAAGTGACGAGCTGGAGGACATCTTGGGGAACTTCAGCCTCCACTACGAAACCTGTCTTTAAGGGTTTGTAAGGCTTGGGGTTCAACGTTGAGTGTTTCGATTTCGGGGTTGGGTTTAGGGTTCGCTTTTCATCGGTCTGCAAGCCCAAAACCTTGGCTGGAAATCTGGGACCTATGCTGTAATGCTCAGGTTCGAGTCGATTCCCCAACCCCGTTCCAGTCTCCGAAAGGTTTTGATTTTCAAGATCCAGGGTTTATGTCAGAGTCAACTGACTCCCGAAACCCTAAACCCTGAACCCTGATATTTGAAGCCCTTCGGGGCTTAGCAGCGGCGATCGGGGGTCATGGATTTTCTTCCGGCAACCACACCATCTGTTTCTTGATGACCCAATGCTCCTTGGAACTGTTGTCTCCTCAGGAAATACTTTTTTGTATTTGTGGTTTAGGGGTTTAGGGTCTAGGGTTTAGGGTTTAGGGTAGGGTTTAGGGTTTAGGGGTTCATATGAGACCCAGGAGAAGAGTAGACCTTTTATTTTTCATATGGTTCTAAGGGGGTGGGGGGTTTTAGACAAACCTTTCGGGGTCGATTAAGTGAGGAAAGCCTCAGATCTGCATGGCTTAATGTAAACGCGCGTTTTGGTTAAGTGAGGGTTTAGGCTTTAGGCTTTAGGGTTTAAGAGGATCAAAGGCTATATGATGGGTATATAATAGCTATATTAAGGGTATATACCTAGGGGTCCTTATTCAGGGTCCCTCCTTTTACCCTTGAAGAGGAGTGTTGGCATCTTTTCGTCTAGGAGCCGTGGGCCTGGGTTTGTGCATGTTGGAACTCGCAGGGAGTCCGAAAAGTAAGGACCCTTAATGGGGACCCCTACCCTACAATGGGCTATATAATGGGTATATAATAGCTATATTCAGGTCGTATTTGGGGTTAAGAGTGGTTGAGCACGGCACAAGCGTAATCTGCCTGAATTTGCGGCAAAAGGATGACGATGTTCCAGCTCCCAGGCACTTGTTGTAGACCTGAATAATCTAAACCCAAAACCCTGAACCCAATAATTCACATTGAACCTTAAGCTTCCAAGCCTTAACTTAATGTCAATCCTAAACCAAGCTCTCCAGCCCTGAACCTGACACCCGACACCCTGAGCCCTCCAGCTGTAAACTCTCTGCCAACACAAAACTGTAAAACCATAAGGCCGAAGCATTCACCCCGTCCTTGCGACCCTAAGCCAAAAATCCGATCTCTAAAGCCCTAAACCCTCAACCCTCGACCCTAAGCCCCAAATCTTGATCCTAAAGACCATAAAGGAGCCCTTACTAAAACCCTGAATCCCAAGCCCTATACTTCCTAAACCCTAGAGCCGTTAAAGGAAGCTCAAACCCAAACCCTATGTCCTAAGCCTTAAACCCGAAGCCCTAGTGCCCTTAAAGGAGGCCTAAAGCCCAACTCTAAATCCTGTGCCTTAACCCCTCAGCCCCTTAAGAGTCTTGGGAGTTTCCGAAAATAGGGGACCCTAATAGAGTACCCGAAGTAGTAGGATCCTTGTTATGAGGACCCCAAATACAGGTACCCCGGATTTTCAGGAACTTTTTGCACGCCGGATAGACCCCTTTAAAGGGATCCTTATAGTACCCTTACAGAAACCCTAAACCCTAAACCCTAAGCCCTAAACCCTAAACCCTAACCCTTTAAGGGAGCCCTATAAAGTACCCCCTAGTTTTCGGAAACTCCCTTTGTCGCTCTCCTAGGTGAAGGCAGCCTTGGCTGTCCACGCTTCGAACAGGACCTCTGAATGAAAGCGTTAAGATTAAGGCGAAGGGTTTAGGGATTAGGGGTTATAGGGCTTAGGGTGGGTTTGGGTGGTTTCGGGCTTAGGGAGTTTGGTTTTGTCTTGAGGGCTCTGGGTTGAAGACCGATTGTTCGGTGCCGGTTGAGGGTTTGCAGCTCAAGGGATTGAGGAGTGAAAGGGGTCCTTTACCCTAAGGGTCCTTATACTCTCCCAAATAGTAACCTACATAACTACTGTCCTAAACGCAAGTACCCGACTATTCCGTCCTCAGGTTAGGGATTATGCCTCCTTACATGCAAAAGCTGTCCTCCGGTCCTATAATGATATGGGAGCTTACGAAAATCAGGGGTACCTTATTTTGGGGTCCAAAAAAGGATCCTACTATTTAGGGTACTATTTTATTAGGGTCTCCTGTTTTCGGAAATTCCCATAAGGTTGAATTGGGAGTGTTTTTTCAGGGCTCCAGATGTGTAGGAATTAGAGTATAGTCAGGCATTTGGGTTCAGGGATTGGGGGAAGACTAGGAAGCTTGAAGTAGTCATCCTTTTAAGTTCTTCCGCAACGAACGCTGGGAAAGCCAGTCGTAGGTTTGCACCATCAATTTTGTCATTTCCTTGCCGATGCGCGGGGTCGAGCTGGTTGTAGTTCTGTATAACTGGCTCAGGTCGTTCGTCCAATGAGCCGTAACATGTAATATAGGGCCTTAATAAGAATTACCTACTATATTTTGGAGGTTCCGTATTATGTTATAGTGTATGCATGTGTGTATGTATGTATGTATGTATGTATGTATGTATGTATGTATGTAAGTGTGTATGTATGTTTGTATTTATGCATGTCCGTATGTCCATATGTATGTCCGTACGTATGTATGTATGTATGTATGTCTTCGTGCATGCATGTATGTATATGTATATGTAGATGTATATGTATATGTACGTTTGTGTATGTACGTTGCCATAAGCGCATGTTATGTATGTATGTAGGTAGATAGCTAGGTATGTAGTTGCGTGTGTGTATGCGCATGTATCGATGCACGTACGATTGCATACACGCATGCATGCTGCTTGAACGGATGTAGGGATGCTTCATGGCTGTACATATCCTGTTTGTATGTGTGCGTGTTCATGTTCTGTCTGTCTGTTTGTCTGTATCTTGTTTTCCTGTATGTACAAAGATACATGTGTATATCTAAGCGCACATTTATGTTTATGTTCATGTACTGGTATATGTATATGTATATAAGTACATGTATATGTATATGTAGACGTGTATATATACATAGATGCACATGTCTCAACGTGCGAAGCTGACTTGGAGCGGCAACTCCAGTCCCCAAACTCTGAGGCTGGCGCTTCAACTCTACACACAAATCTGCAAGCCTTGCACCCCAAACCTAAATCGTATAAACCCTCACCCCTCCCCCTCCTTTCGAAACACCCACACCCCCCCCCCCCCCCCCCCCCCCCCCCCCACCCCCCACCCCCCAGTTTACGGACGAAGCAATAAAAGCAGGTTGCGGAGCTCTTATCTAGCTCTGTTTCATGAAGACTGGCTTAGGGTCTACTATAGGGGCCTTAATAATTACCACGCTATTTCGGGCGCGCCTTATTGTATAATGGGCCCCAGAACCTTAGTCTAATTATTAAGGCCCCTATATCAGGGCTTAGCTTACCTTTGGTTAGGTTAGTAGGGAATGGAGGAATGGGGTACAACTATAACTACTATTACTACCATTCTTTCATTCCCTGCTGACCAAAGGTAAGTTAGGGATCGGCAAGAAGCCCGATGTCCGTGCAGGATCGTCGTCGGCGATCTGTCCTACAGACAGCTCGCCCTGATTGAGAAGCTAACGAAGCAGCGCCTGGTCGTTGTCATTTGTGTTTGATTTTGGTCTGGGTTTAGGGTTTAGGGTGTTGTCATTTTGGTGGTTGTCAATATTAGGGTCCCTTTTTGGGTCCTTATTATACTACGGCACCTAATATTTTAATATTTACGGTACCTCAAAAGGGGCCATAATGTTCACAACCACCCATTTGTGTTTGATTTTGGTCTGGGTGTTGGATAAGTTTCTGCAGAGTATATAGCTGGGGTTTGAATCTCGGGTTTTCATGACGCTTGTCCTGGTGCCTGTGATGACGACATTGGCTTGTGATGGTTTCGATCTTGGTGCTTGTTCTATCAATCTGCACAAGCAGCAAAAACAACCACCACCACCGCCACCACCACGACGACCCACAACAACCACAGCAGAAACTCCACACCAACGACCGCGCTAGCAGCAGCTGCAGAAGCTAAGCAGAACATCGACGCCAGCACCAGCAGCAGTAGTGGCAACGAGAGCAGCAACACGGACATAACTGCCACGAACCATCACCAGAACATGAGCAGCAACACCCACTCACAACCAGCAGCAAAACTAAGCAGCGACAGTAGCGGCACCAGCCATAGCAGGAAATCGCCCGCACCAACAGCAAGAATCACTTCCACTTCAGCATACTCACTTGCGACCACGCTCTGCCGAAGTGCACTAAGCATCGCTTTTCGATTTTGCTGGGGCAACAAGCCAACTAATGATTATTCATTGCCTTTGTGAGGGCACGCGTCTAGACTCAGAGCATGTCATCACGATGTCATCGAGCTGCAAAGACGCCGGATCTAGGAAACTACCCCCCGCCATCCGATCTACAGAATTGAACTTGCAACTCTTCCCGTCTTTCGGAAGAAATTGGAGGAGCTCATCAGTGAAATTCAGAGTAAGAATGGAAGCACCACGCCACGGGAGCGATCTGCGGAATGAAGCCTTAGAGTCTTAGAGCATCGGGGCACGGTGATCCAAAACAAGCGGGATTTAGGGTTTAACTTATGTGTCAGCCATAACCAAATGTTGAATCACAGCGCTCGCATGCAGAAAGTTACGTCAACACGCGGCAGGACCAGGGTAAAAGGAAAGCAAAGACTTACAGTATTATTAAGCAGAATTACGAGTAAGTAAGATCCCCTAAACCCTAAACCCTAAACCCTCTTCTGACGGCCCCTAATCCCCCCCAAACCCTGAGCCGCTCTGCCAGCCAAGGGCGTTGAAGATCGCGCTCAGAGAATCGGCGGTGAACCATACAGGCCGGAAGTCGGAGCTCTCGCGGTTTAGGGCTTAGGGTTTAGGGCTCGTTGTCGTCGGGGCAACAGAGAGAAAAAAGTGGAAATATAGAAGCCAAGATCGCTACAACTAAATACATGCTATTCTGCTATTTATTCCTTTCGATTTCTTGCTACATCTTACCAGAATAATCTTCCAACAAATCCTATTCTAGTTATTCAGGCCCCTACATTGCAGTCTTTTAGGGTGCCGGGTTTTAGCTGTGGGGGTTTGCGTTTGAGTTAGGGGTTTAGGGTTTATAGGGTTTAGGCACGGCACCACAGTTTCAATTACCGTTGACGTCTCAGGACCAAGTAGACGAAGTGTCAACATGACAATCATTTGTGGTCCGTACTAGAACCTCAGGAAAACACAATTCGCATCCCTATACCCTAGACCCTAATATAGGGGCCTTTATAATTACCTATACTATCTTGGGGCTCCTTTTTTTAACTATAGTATAGTTGCCCCAAAACCCTACTCTAATTATTAGGGCCCCTATAGTAAGCCGCTATAGCGGCTATAGATGGAGACAGGTATGCTCATTGCCATCCTTGCTGCTAGTAGCAGCTGAAGACGGAGCCGTTGCAGCAAGACGAACAAAGGTGCAAGTGGAGGAGGAGAAGACCAAGAGCAGGCTGCTGGTAATGGCTAAGGCTAATATAGGGGCCGAAATTATGACCAATACTATTTTGGGGTTCCTTATTAATGTTATAGTATAATGGGCCCACAAACCTACTCTAATTACTAAGGCCCCTATATTAGATTCAGATCCCTGCAACTGACAAGACGTGACGGTGTCAACCACCATAGTGGCAGCATCAGCGCCACCAGCGATTGTGGCTGCCATGGTTCAGAGGCAGTCACCCCAAGGGTCCAAAGGACCCAACATTCGGGTACTTGGGTTTAGGATAGTAGTTATGTAGGTTTCGACTTGGAGAGTATATGTTCATTAGGTACTTGGACCCTTGGGGTCACTGTAACTGATGCAGGGGTCCAAGCAACCAGTCAGACAGTCCACCGGAGAGCCCCTATGGCTAGCATGAAGAGGAGCAGAAGCAGGTAGTGGAATGTAGGTGTTTAAACAGCTAGTCAGAATATCCAGAAAAAGTCACTCTCCAACTGTTTTACGCGTTTGTTGTACCCCCAAAGTGCAGTTACAATCATCAAGGCATATTATGGCCCATGATGCCAGTCAAACTGCTTAAAATCTGCTAAAAACATTCAACAGTTCGCAACAGCCATCGAACGCTTAAAACAACGAAAACATCAAGTATTTGTCGATGCGAATGTAGTATAGACCCGAAACCACGTGAGGCTAAGTCAGCCATTGTGTTCAGTACTGGCCCCAGGCGGTTTGAGACGCCCTCAAGATCCCGAAACCCCATACACCTAATCCCCAACCCCAAGACAACCCTAAACCCTAAACCCTAAACCCTACAAACCCCAAACCCCAACCCTAAACCCTAAACCCTAAACCCTAAACCCTACAAACCCCAAACCCCAACCAAGCCCCTGAACTCTGGACTCCTACCTTGAAGGTCTTATATGCAGGACGCATAGTAAAGTTTTAGGGTCCGGGGAAACGCTAAACCCTAAGCCTTTTAGCCCTAAACCCTCAACAGGCCCTAAACCCTAGTCCCCAAGCAAATTTTTCGTTTGTAGCAAGGATGTTGCGGACGGAAAAAGGAGCTCAACGAAAAAAAAAAACTCAGCCCTAAACCCTCAACCCTAAACCCTCAAGACGAAGCTATGGGAACTGCCGAGCCCGCGCTTTTAGAGCTCCAGGAGCTCTGTGACGTCCCTGCGGGGTTTAGGGGCCTTACGGGGTTTTGGTTCCTTTAAGGGCCCCTTTAACTTACTTAGCCTATTGGAGAACTTTAAACTTTTTGGCTTCATATATTTGGTCTAACTTAAAAAGTTTGAACTTTGTTTGGGCCTGGCTATTGGAGAAGAGAGTTAAAGGGATCTATAGGGATTCTTTCAGGGTATAGGGTCTGGGGTTGCTTGGGGTTTAGGGCTTTAGGGGGCTTTGGGTTATGGCTTTAGGGGCTTAGGGTTTGGGATATAGGGCTTAGGGTGTGGGGTCTGGGGTTAGAGCTTAATTAAGGCTTAAGATTTAGGGTTTAGAGTTTATATAGGACCTAGAAAACTCACAACACGCCCTAACTTCTCTAAGCTCTGCACAAAACACTCGACCCTAAAACCGCAAAGCCTGGAGAACTTAATATAGGGGCCTTAATAATTAGAATAGGGTTTTGGGGCCCATTATACTATAATCATAATAAGGAGCCGCCAAGAATAGTATTAGTAATCATTTAGGCCCCTAAGTACTAAAGTTAAGGATCTTCACGGAACCGATTTAAGGAACCTTTACAGTGCCTTACAGAAGCCTAATGCCCAGGCCGGTTCGAGCAGACTATAACGCAGTTCGAGGAGCCGGCCCATGTTTGTTTTGTTTTTCTGACCTTACCCCTCAACTTAGATTCCCAACACCTAACCTTCAAACTTTTGGGTTCTTATAGTTTAGTAGGAATCGGAAAGTCTAACCTTTTGTTTCTGTGGCTTATTGGGGTAGTAAGTCAACCCTAAACCGTAACCCCCAAACCCTAAAAGCCCTTCACCCTTAACCCTACACCCCCAAACCCTAAAAACTACGACCTAGGAGCCCTGAACCCCAGGAACCCTTAACCCCCAACCCTAAACCGTCCGATTTTTCAAGGTAACTAAATGGGAGTTTCCGAAAATTAGGGGTTCCGTGTTTTGGAGTCCTTATAATATGGATCCTACTACTCAGGGTACTATCTTAGGGTCCCCTGTTTTCGGAAACCCTCACATACGTGAACTAGGGTCCATATAGGGTTTGGGGATGTGAGTTTCAGTTTCGGGCTCTTTCGGGTTCAAAGTAGTATATCCTATAGATGTACTCAATGCCGGCTATGCTACTGTGCATAATATAGGGGCCTCAATAAGTACCAATACTATGTTGGGGGCCTCCTTACTATACTTATAATATGATGGGCCCCAAAACCCTATTCTAATCATTCAGGCCTTTATTACCCCTACTTTCAACTATCCTGAGCTTGAAAGCAGGATCACCCGGCGGCCGACCCAACGTCTTCAGCCCTACCTGCAGTCTCGATTGTAATCTAGCCGCTTAAATAATTACCTATACCATGTTGGGGGGGGGGTTCCTTATCATTGTTATAGTACAGCGTACCCCCAAACCCTATTCTAGTTATCAAGGCCTCTATTGTAGTTCCTTTTTCTGGCTAACCAGTTTCATATATTTAGGATCCTATAAGGTAAGCCCGAAAAGGAACTACAATGCAGACTAGGTGAACACATAGTGCTGTTCTCGAACCCTTCTCCCTAAACCCTAAACCCCTAAACCCCTAAACCCTAAACCCTAAACCCTAATAAAAGCCTAAGCGGAGCCTTAAACGGATGGTAGGTCCATCCAGTATATCCCCCTTATTATCCCTAAATGGGACGAGCTCTTTCTCCTTCCGCTTCAATGCAAGCCTGCGAGGGGTGTTCATTGCTCATGTTGCGTCTTCCTTGCCCAAAGCTACTAGGAACATAAATACAGTATATTCTACATCAAAGCCCATCTCTGTTGTTATATGCATCCCCTGTATCAGCCGTCGCAGTAACGCCTGTAGTATCCCTTTTGGGGCCCTGGCCCTAAGTACCGACCCGGATCCTGAAGATCCCCCCCTGCCGCGCGATCTTCGCGAGGAGGGCCACTCGGAGCTTTTGTTAGGATCGACGCCCTCCACGATCTTGCTGGGGGCCACTCGGAGATGAAGCTTAGCTCCCCACTAGGTTTTAGGGATTAGGGCTTTAGGAGTTGGGGTTTTAGGGTTTAGGGATAAGGTATCTGGAGATGAAGCTTAGATTGTCTCCCCAGTACCTAAGCTTGATTTTTTGGGTTCTGATTGTTTTTGTGGGAATCCGAAAGTTTGACCTTTTATCTCTGTGGCTTATTGGGGGTACTAAGGAAGGGTTCAGGGCCGTTCAGAGTGGCTAGCATACTATAGAAGCCTGAATAGATGGCAATGCTGGTAATATCATTATCTTGCTGGGGCCACCTGGTGAACATCTTATAATGAGTAGTATCGTAGATAACATTAAGCGTTTTTGGTGCATCATCATCCTTATATAAGCCCAAAGGTTAACCTTTCCTTTAGGATACTGGACAAAGAAACATACGAGTCTGAATAAATGGTTAATACTTGCAATGTTCTCTACAGTCCCACGAATCCTATTCTAACACTACAGGCCTTTTCACAACAAGTCACAAAGCCCGAACGTACATCATGTTCGACAAACGGGTTTCTCTGATTGTCAAGACCCCTGTGGTATACACCGTGTTCCCAACACAAGATCCTGGTTATTGAGGCTTAAATTACCCCAAACCCCTACATAAGCCTTGAGGCCAGAAACCCTGACTCACCCAGAAGTCTCGCACCGTCGTTAAGAGAGGCTTTAGGTTTGGGCTTCCTTTAGGGGTTCGTTTACTTACTTAGCCTATTGGAGAACTTTAAACTTTTTGGCTTCATATATTTGGTCTAGCTTAAAAAGTTTGAACTTTGTTTGGGCCTGGCTATTGGAGAAGAGAGTTTAAGAGTTTAGGGTTTAGGGTTTCTTCAAGGGCTGGTTTAGGGTATAGGGGGTTTAGGGGTTCAGGGTTCCAATGTTTAGGATTCGATTTTTTACTGGTGCAGCCTTCTGGGTTTGGGGGTTGTTTAGCGGTTTAGAACAGAGTTAAATGTTTGGTATTCGGGGCTTACTCATAGGCTCCCCAGTAGTTCCTTTTGGGGGTTACCTTATAGGATGCTAAATTTGGGCCCAAAAAACGAACTACGATGGAGTTTATGATAATAAGGACTATACCATAATTCCCATGGTTTAGGGTCCGTAAGGTGGTGCAGGATTTTTATCATCAACAGTACTACTGCAGATTGAGCCTCGGTTTAGGGTTGTAGGGAAACGGGGATTTGAGATTGACGGATTGGGTCTTGCAGTTATGTCTGCTGCTCTCAGAGTTTCATAATCTTCTGTACATGGTGTTTTTAGCTAGGGTAGGATCGGGGTTTGATTCGAATCTCCTTGTATCAATTTCCCAACCACAGGAGGCCATGCAACTACGCAATGCACCTGAGGTCAAAGCCGGTTTGGGGGTTTAGGGGTTTAGGGCTCAGGGCTCAGGGTTTGCCGGGTTTAGGTTGTGTTGTTCAGAGATCAAGATCATATTCCCTAGTTCACGAGTATGGGTCCTGGGTTGAACCAGGGAATCGTAGCCTCTCAGCAGAAAGCCATTCTAAGTCCGTGGATCTTAAACTTTCAGCCGTAAATCAAGTTGTAAATCCTACTTCAATCCTTCAATCATAGGGATCCTTAGGGGGGTAGGGGGGGGGTAGGGGACTATACTTCCTTAGCACTTACTGGGTCCTCATTATGGGCATGAAGGCCCCCATCCCCCCCCCCCCCCCAAATAATACCTATTTCGGCTTTGTCCTTTTTCATGGTTCCCCCAAACGAATAAGCAGACCGGCTAGTAGACCTTATTAAATAATTCCTACTAAGGGATATAGGTATAGGGCTCTGTCTATTACTTCTAAAAGGACAAGGGTGGAGTTAAGTTACCATAATAGGGATCTATAAGGGGTCCTTTAAGGGATCCATAAGGGCTCCTTTAAGGGTTTAGCCCTAAACCCTAAACCCTAAACCCTAAACCCTAAACCCTAAACCCTAATCTAAAAGGACAAGGGTGATACCTATGCTGGCCTCGGGCGCCTTTTGAGGCTCATGAGGGTCCTCTACCCTCTACTTGGAGCTTCATGGGTAGTTATACGTAGGGTCCCTTTAAAGGGATCTATAGGGATATAGGGTTTAGGGTATAGGATTATGGGGGTTTAGGGTTCAGGGGTAGTTATAAGTGGTGTTATAAGTAGGGTAACTATACACATAAACCATACTAGGGGACTTATAAGCCCATGTATAACTACCCATGAACCCTAAACCCTATACCTTTATAGAATCCCTATAGATCCCTTTAAAGGAGCCCTACCTATAACTACCCATGAGCCTCCAAGTAGGGGTCTCCGGGTCCCTGCATGTGGAAGGTGGCGGCTCTGCGGCTCCTATAAAAGGGGTGTGGGTTTAGGGTTTAGGGTTTAGGGTCTCAAAAAAAAAAGTGCACAGAAGAAGGAAAGCGCGTTTCGACCCCCATAATCCTATACCCTAAACCCTATATCCCTATAGATCCCTTTAAAGGAACCCTACGTATAACTACCCATGAACCTCCAAGTAGAGGGTAGAGTTCAGGCTTGGACCTCACCAGTAGAATTTGGTGGTTGGGCCGGTTTTTTCAGATGTTAAAGGGATCTATAGGGATTCTATAAGGGTATAGGGTTTAGGGTTCATGGGTAGTTATACATGGGGTTATAAGTAGGGTAACTATACTTATAAACCATATTAGGGGGTAGGGGAGAAAGAAGGAAAGCCTTCAACAGACAGGCCTTCACAGCTAAACTTCAACTTCAAACCTCCACCCACTATTTTTGGCACCCGAAAACCCCAGCAACTCGTCACACATCCCCGAAAGCCCGCACCCGCAACGTCCTTCAAGCATTTAATTCAGGAACGTACTTTAAAACGTATGAAAGCCTCCTCGATGATCCTTTATGCTTCGAGGTACGTTGCTGCGGTAAGGGCGTTGGGGTCTTCTCGTTTTGTGCAAACTCCAACATCCCAGGTCTTCGTTCCAAGAACCGAGAGCGTTTGCCTTCTCAACTTTATGTTTCAAGTGGAGACGGACTTCAAGGCACGCATCGTTCAGGTTCAGGTGTTGAAGATTTCAGTTTGGAGCTTGATGGAGTGCAGAGTCCGATCCGTGTTTTCATAACTACTACTTGTCGTCCATGCCACCTCCGCCGTCGCAAGAGCCGTGCCCTCGGCTGTCTGCTGCTCATGCTGCTGCTGTTGCCTGTGCAGCTGCCACTACCACTCACTACCACTACGACTACCACTACTACGACGACGACTCCTACTGCGACTACTACTACGACGACGAAACCCACTACCACTGCCACTACCACTACCACTGCTACTACTACTACTACTGCTACTACTACTACTACTACTACTACTACTACTACTACTACTACTACTACTACTATCACTACTACTACTACTACCTACTACTACTACTACTACTACCTACTACCTAATACCTACTACCTAAGACCTACTGCCTACCACTACTACTACTACTACTAGCTACTACTATTGCTACGACTATTGCTACGACTACGACTACGACTACGGCTACTACTACTACTATTATTACTACTACTACTACTACTACTACTACCACTACTACTACTACTACTACTACTACTACTACTACTACAACTACAACTACTACCTACTACCTACTACCTACTACCTACTACCTACTACCTACTACCTACTGCCTACCACTACTACTACTACTACTACTACTACTACTACTACTACTACTACTACGACTCTCTACTACTACTACTCTACTACTACTACTACTACTACTACTACTACTACTACTACTACTACTACTACTACTACTACTACTACTACTACTACTACTACTACTACTAGCTACTACTATTGCTACGACTAGTACTACGACTACGACTACGACTACGGCTACTACTACTACTATTATTACTACTACTACTACTACTACTACTACTACTACTACTACTACTACTACTACTACTACTACTACCTACTACTACTACGACGACGACTACGACTACTACTGCTACTGCTAAAACTACTGCTACTGCTCCTGCCACTGCTGCTTCTGCTGCGACTACTACTACTACTACTACTACTACTACTACTAGAACTAGTCGTAATCCTACTGCTACTACTACTACTACTGCTACTACTACTACTACTATTACTACTACCACCTACTAGCACTTCTACTACTACTACTACTACTACTACTACTTCTTCTTCTACTACCACTACTACTGCTAGCTACTACTACTACTACTGCTACGACGACGACTACAACTATGACTATACTACTACTACTACGACGACGACTACTACTACTGCTACTGCTAAAAATACTGCTACTGCTACTGCTCCTGCCACTGCTGCTGCTGCCGCTACTGCTACTACTACTAGTACTGCTAGTACTACTACTACTACTACTGCTACTACTACGACTACTACTACTACTACTACTACCACTACTACTGCTACTACTACTACTACTACTACCACTACTACTGCTACTACTACTACTACTGCTACTACTACTGCTACTACAACAACAACAACTACTACTACTACTACCACTACTACTAGTGCTCACTCCAAAACATGACCTTATAAACCCCAAATCCTAAATCCTAGTGTGTGTGTGAGATGTAGCCTTCGGGCTTGGGGGTTTCAGGGCCTTGGTGGCAGATATGTGTTTTTTTGTCATAGATATATTGGGTCCTTAATAGTAGCCCCATTCTAGACGGTTACTGTATGGGGGCAGTACCCAAGGTTTAGGTTTCTAATCACTTCTTCGTATCAGCAGAATTGCCGTTCTTCTTCTCAGGGTCGATCTAACCATGCGGTACATGCAGCGACCCCAAAGTGGTAATGTGGGAACCCATATGTACACTAGCCCCTGCCGTTTGGGCTCTCCTGGTGACGTCCTTGGAAGGAGCTGATGAGCACCTTGAGGCAGTTGTTCGGCGCCAAGGACCGGCGTGGAAGGGAGCAAGGGTTTAGGATGTAGGGTAGAGAGAGAGGCACGACTCCACAAAGAAAGCTGCACAGCACCAAAAGCGCCCTAAACCCTGCAACCTAAACCCGCAAACGCTCGTGTCCAGGGAGTCAATGCCCACCACCCGCAAGTGGTGTTTGCAACGTGCGTTACTTTGGCTTTCAGGTGTACCTATAGTCTCCATTGTAGTTCGTTTTTGGGGTTGCCTTATAGGATCCTAACCGTGAAGCTGTTTAAAGCACAAAGGAACTGCAGTGGAGACTGTAGGTAGGTGGGGTTTAGGGATCCCCGATTTGGGAGTCCGGAGTAATATTCAGATCTGGGGGCTTCGAAAGGCAGGGCACTGGGGATGTATAGGGGGTCGGAATATTTGGCAGTATGCTCCCCTGCTCTTATGTCGTTTAGGGTTTGGGGGCTTTAGGGGATGTAGGGGTTGTAGGGTTTAGTGTGGGTTTAGGGTATCATCTCCTGCCCTCATAGTCCCGCTTAACTATTACTATGTAATACCATACCCCAATTGAAACTAATACGGAACGGCCCGTGTATTGCTTCAAATCTTCCTTCATCAAATTATTCAGGTCCCTATATTACTTCAGATCTTCCGTCGCTGGGCCCAAGTGGACCCTTGCGTTTTTCAGATGGGTTGAAGCTGCCCCTGTTCGTAGTTCTGCCCTTAACGGTTGATGATATAAATCCTGCATTGCCTTAAGGACCCTAAACTATGGGGATTTTGGTATATTCCTTATTATGGGTAATGAATGCAGGATTTATACCTTCAATCTCTCGTCTGATTATGGAAGGTTTAGGGTTTAGGGTTTACTGGTGGTTGTGACTCGCTCTGAACCATCCCTACACCCAAAAACCCTGAACCGATAGCAAGACGATGGTATCCAGTGAACACCATAAGCCGGTAAACCCGACACCCTCATCAGGACTACCTCCAGAGCCACATACGCTTCGTGGCTGCTGAAGCCGCCAACCCCGTGCTGGTGCAGGCATCGATTTCTCAAGATCTGGCATACACAGTACTAGAGTAGATACACTTTAAGCTTTGGGGGGTATTAAGATCCTCATTCATGTCTACAGATAAACCTTTACTTCCCCGAGGATACTACTGGACAATTGAGCATGCAGTTTCGAGTCCGGGTTCAGAAAAGTTATCGTTCCGGATCCTACTATTTTGCACTTCATATCACGGTCCCCTACTGTCGGAACTCGATACTTCCGTTAAGAAGTTAAGTGTGAACCGTGATTCCCAAACTTCACGAGCGACTGACTGCCAGCAGAATACTTACAGCGCCTGCGCCCACTATTACGAATATAATAACTATTACTCTTCTCATTGTGCATGTTAATATTACGATCATTATTATGATCATGAGTAATGCAGGAACCCGATTAAGAAACCCTTCTCCATATCCCCAAAATAGTAGTATTCATATAAGGAACCCGCATAAAGGTGCAAGGTCTCTTAATCAGGTTCCTACAGTGTTATAGTACCCTTATGCATCCCTTATAGTAACCCTTATAGACCCCCTTAAAGGAACCCTAATAAGGGCGCAAGGCTTTCTTACTCAGGTTCCTACACGAGTTTTACTCAAAGCCCGGAGCAGATCCTTTCGTTTCTCCAGAACCCTAAACACTAAGCCCTAAACCCTAGACCCTAAACCCTAAGCCCTAAACCCTAGACCCTAAACCCTAAGCCCTAAGCCCTAAACCCTAGACCCTAAACCCTAAACCCTAAACCCGTCCGGTGGTTCGCGTTTGCCGCAGGCCTTTGAAGCCTTCGAAGCTGGCTGGGAGACTCGCAAGATGATGAGGGGATCCTTTAAAGGGATCTATAATGTAGGGGCCTTGATAATTAGAATAGGGTTTCGGGTTTAGGAATTGGTGGCTTTACAGGGATCTAAAAGCGATCTATAAGGCTTCTATGTAGGCTTTGGGGTTTAGGCTTTAAGGTCTAGGGATTCAGGCTTGGGGTTCGAGGTTGAGGGCTTAGGGTGCAGGGTTTAAGGTTTAGGGCTTAAGGTTTAAGGTTGAGGGTTCAGGGTTTAAGGTTTAGGGCTTCAGGCTTTAAGGTTGAGGGTTCAGGGTTTAAGGTTTAGGGCTTCAGGCTTTAAGGTTGAGGGTTCAGGGTTTAAGGTTTAGGGCTTAAGGTTTTGGGTTTAAGGTTTCGCTTCAGGGTTTAGGGCTTAAGGTTGAGGACTTAAGGTTTTGAGGGTTAAGATCGGCAGCGTTTTGATTAAGGGCCAGTGGTCTACTTCTCAGACCGCGGACCCAGAGCTGCACCCTCAGCTTTAGATCGCGAGCTTCTGCGCTGGTTGCGAAGCCCTGAACGCAACGCCAGACTTCTACTTACCTGACTTCGGCTTAAAGGGAACTCCAGAAAGTTGGAATATGGAATAATGGCAGGATCCCCTATAATTTACCTTAAAGGGATTATGATAATGATATTCCAACTTTCCGGCTTCTACTGTAGCCTAGGAGTAGGTCAGGTATGAGTGCCTTACTCATAACCCGAGCTTTCTTGGAGTACATCTCTGACCACTTGTGTGTCTCCGCGGAAGCTTGGACCCCTTCCCCCCACAAAGGCAAACACGAAGCGAGGGTTAAAACAGGCCAATAGCAGTACCAGCCAACGACCCCAGACCCACAGAAAGCTAAACCCTAAATACTAAACCCCTAAGCCCTAAACCCCTAAACCCTAAACCCCTGAATCCCAAACCCTAAACCCTGAAGCCGTAAGACCCGAAACCCACAGCTCCAGCTGTACTCCACTTGGAGGGTCGGGGGACTTAGTAACTATAAGGGGTTCCTTAAGGGTTCCCTTAAAGGGATCTATAGGGATTCTGTAGGGGTTTAGGGTTTTGGGGGACTTAGTAACTGGTTATTTTAGGGACTTATAAGTACCATAACCCCAATTAGGGTCCCTTTTAGGGTACTTATAAGTCTAGTTACTACCTACTTACTAAGTCCCCCGACCCTCCAAGCATACCTTGCACTCCCGAGCTGGGACTCTCAGAGGGTATCCTTTAACTAAGTGTCTAGAGCTGGAGCTTACGGCTTCAGGGTTTTGGGTTTTGGGTTTCAGGGGCTTAGTATTGGTTTTCGGGGTTCAAGGTTCAGGGTTTAGAGTTTAATGTTGTTTTAGGGGTTTTGGGTTTCGGCTTTTTTGGGTTTCAGGGTTCAGGGTGGCAAGGATGCTCCAAAGGGCAAGGATGGAACCCCAGGTGCCGGGTTTTAGGGGGTTTGGGGATTTGGTTTTGAGGTTTGGTGCATTTGGGTTTAGATCAACGCCTGAAGTCGCAGACCTTAACCCCGCCCCAAAACTCCCAGTGCTTCGATGTTGTACCCGCTTGGGTGCAGTAGTGCCTGCTTCGGCATACGTGGAGTTTTCTAAAAACCTTGACCCGTTAACCCGAACCCTTAAACCCTAAACTCCTAAACCCCCCAAACCCTTAAACCCTAACCCTAAACCCCCAAACCCTAAACCCTAAACCCTCAACCCTATAGATCCCTTATAGAGCCTTTCTGGCCCCCTTTAAGGGAGATCAGCCTTAAACCCCCAAAGCCCCCAAAGCTCTAAAGCCCCTAAAGGGAGCTGCCATGCCACCAGAAGATGATAGCAGCCCGAAAGCCTGAGAAACACGCCGCACACCCCACGGTTTAGGGTTTAGAATTGAGAGGTTAGGATTTAGGGTTTAGGCTTTTTTTGGGGTTTAGGGTTCAGGGTTTAGGGTTTAGGGCTTACCCTCTTAGATCTCCAATGCCTAACCTTTAAATTTTTTGGGGGTTCTTATAGTTTAGTAGGAATCAAAAAGCCCGACTGGTCGAGCCAGCAAGGGTTTGCAGGATTTCAGGACAAACAGCCATAGTCCTCACATCTAGTGTTTAGGAGTTGGGGGGCTTCGGTTTGTTAAAAGCCGCCCAGAGCTCCAAAACGCATCCGAGGAGAGCTACCGCATTGACGATGCCACGAGAATGCAAGGCCACGGTTTAGGGTTCAGGATTTAGGGCCACGGTGGTGGAAAGCTTCGGGATTTTGGACCCTGGCGGGTAAATAGTATGTACTCTGGCCAAATGCTTTCTAGGTACTTCGAACCTTGGGGTAAGGTGTATGCGACATGTGGGAGTTTCCGAAAATAGGGGGCCCGAATATAGTACCCTCAGAATTAGGATCCTTAACCAAAGGACCCCAAAACAAAATACCCCAAATTTTCGGAAACTCCCACATGTAGGATTTAGGGTTCAGGTTTGGTTTTGGCTGCATGGAATGTGGCTTCGGGGGATCCTTGAAGCCCTATATCCTGCAGCAAAAGCCCTGAACTCTAAAGGCCCCTATGAACCCTGATGTAGGAACCTGATTAAGAAACCCTGGCCTTTATTAGGGTTCCTTTAAAAGGGGTCTATAAGGGTTACTATAAGGGATCTATAAGGGTACCATAATAATAAATGTAGGAACCTGAGTAAGAAACCCCTGGCCTATAACCCCCAAAATAGTAGGATTCATACAAGGAACCCCGAATAAAGGCCCAAGGTTTCTGAATCAGGTTGCTAGATTACACCGCAGCCGTTTGTTGATGTCGAGTGGATGGGGCTTTTACCAGGACTCCCGGGCTTCAAGCCTTTTCTACTGATGCACACTGGTCCCTCCGGTTTAGGGGTTTAGGGGTCTAGGTGTGAGGGGTTTAGGGAGTTAGGGTTTAGGGTTGAGGGTATCATGTTAAGTAACCCATGCTACAGAAACCATGGCAATTAAACCTTGTAGACCCTAAACCCTGGACCCTCCCCTGCTGTGCACGCCTTTCCCTTTTTTCTTGCTGCCGCTGATCTTCTTTGAGTGTCGGTTCACTGAACAGAATGTATGATGTCTATAGTAGATGTTAACCATAGTTTCCGAGGGATACTGGACACAAGGGAAGTACAACAAGAACAGGATCCTCATGGCGTGGCCAAACATACGACATTACCACCTTCACTCTAATCATCTCGCGCTGAGGCCCGCTACGGAGAGACCACGAGAGCCTCAACAGTAAACCTTACCAGCACCCCCGTAAGTACACTTAAAAATTGGGTGTTTCATAGAGGGTAATGTAGGAACCTGATTAAGAAACCCTGGGCCTATAACCCCCAAATAGTAGGGTTCATATAGGGAACCCTCATAAAGGCCCAAGGTTTCTTAATCAGGTTCCTACATTATTACAGTAAACTTTATAGATCCGCTTTAGCAACCCTGAGAGACCCCTTTAAAGGATCCCTCATAAAGGCCCAAGGCTTCTTAATCGGCTTCCTACATTAGTTGGGGGGTCTAGGTGCGCTGAAGCCTCGACCTAGATCCCGTATGTTGCGATGCAGTTGAAAAGGCCCCCGTGCATTATAGGATCCTTAAGAGGGGGTGGTTCAAGGGGGGAGGGTACAAGGAATCCTTAGGGGAACCTTAGGGAGTACTAGGGAGAGTTAGGGATCACTAGGCTATATACCCCCCTGGGAGCCCCCTCCCTTAAGGATACTATAAGTGCAAGCCATCAGAGAAGCCCGGGCTTCAGGTTTTAGCGTTTAGGGTTTGCGTTCGGGGTGCAGATTTTTGGGGGGTTTGGGTTTTTTGGGGGATTGGGGAGTTTCCGAAAAACGGGGACCCTAAGATAGTACCCTAGATAGCAGGATCCTTATAATTACAAGGACCCCCAAAGAAGATACCCCTAACTTTCGGAAACTCCCCTCTGACCCCCTGGATCTGAATCAACCCAAACTTGGGCCGAGATCTACGCATCGCGTACATCTTCTCGAATCCGAACGCCGTGGGGTCAAAGGAGACCGGCACAAGGGGGTTTCGGGCCTTTTTGGGGGGGCTTCGGGTCTACTTCTTAGACCTTCTTGATAGGATCTGCCTGGCTTGAAAAGTCCATGCTCTTTGGTATTTTGCATCGGGATCTCCATGTTTGAAGCTGAAGACTAGGAATAACCCCAAAACCCTAAAACCCTAAACCCTAGTTCGGGTACTCTGTTTCTTGAGGGTTTAGCACCTTCTAGGATGCAGAGGGGCTTGCAGCAGGACTAAGTGCGGTCAGAAGCCGTGTAGGATTTCGATCATCCGCTTTGGGTTTAGGGCGGGGCGGCATGGGGGGTTGGCAAACTACTGTAGAAAGAGGCCATGCGCAGATATGACAACCTCCGAGTACGGTTCGGAGGCGTTGTTGCTGCGGTTTGCCTGTGCCAGAATCGTATGGCCCAGGACAAGTCAGGCTGAAACCCTGCAACGGTAGTTTCTGAGGATCTGTAAAAAGGTTTAGGCCTTCCCGCTCGGGCGTAGGATTTCGGGTTTAGGGTTTGGTGCATCTTCCCACATGCGAGAAGATGACACCACATCACAGCAAAGTGTGTGGGTGGCGGCACATTTTGAGTCCGTCCACTTTTCGAGTGCATTCTGAGACCCGGTAGCGACAAGGCCACAGGCAACCGCGCACAGCATCTCTTGCTGGAACATGGGCTTACACCCTCTATTCCCACATGATGTCTTCTGCCCAGGTCACTAAAAACCCTTAAGCCAATGACCCCCATCCTTTCGTGAGCAGACTGCCGTGCCTTCGACCTACAGGATAACTTCGACTATGCCGAAGGACCAGAAGACTACCACCAAGCACACAAACAGACCCTCGGATCCCTTAGAAGCAGTTGTTGCGACAGCCCCATATCGCTAGATAACAGAACACACCATAAGTCAGTATAAGAAGACATCGTGCTTTGAGGCATATTCCACCAATGTTCCTTAATTACATATCCCAATTAGTAACAATGGCCCTTATAGTGTATCCCTTGGTCGTGAAAACTATACCTATAGTTATGGGTTCTTCAGTACCATACTTGAATATGTTTTTGTTGGACCTGTTCCTCAAAGAACCACTGTTAAATGAAAGGCTCTACTTGTCCCTCCCTGGTTACTTCAAAATCCAAGACTTTCTAATGACTAAAGCCCCTATTTTATCAGACGATCTTGAGGCCTCCACTCAACAAAAGCGTCAAAGCTACAGCGAGTGTTTGCAGCAAATATAGGAAAAGTCGCATCTTCTCTTTTCAATCTTTAAGCATGCGAAGTCCTCACTTTGGGTGTGCAGGGGAAATTACGTGCCCAGCGCTTTCAGTAATGTGGCCTTTACTACATGGCCACCAGTTTTGGTGTATTTGACAGTCTCTTTGGGGAGACACCGCCTAAAGCCCCAAGCGTTGGGTTTGAAGCACAAGTCCTGGAACAAGGATTTTGGGGGTTATATGAGAACTATGTAGAACCATGTGCGATAATTTCCTAAGCTTTGAGCCCTGTAAAGATCAAAGACGGTATGTAGCCGGTTTTGTCTCACCCTAAAACCCTCGACCCTAACCACTAAACCCTGAAATCCCTAAACACGCAGCCCTAAACCCCTAAACCCTCTAGATCCCTTATCCCTTCAAAGGAACCCTATAGATCCCTTTAAGGAACCTAAACCCGAAACCATGAACTTCAAAGGGGAAAAGGCGGGACCCTTAATGGGGACCCCCACCCTATAACGGGCTTTTTAATGGGTATATAATAGCTATATTAAGGGTATATACCTAGGGGTCCTCATAAAGGGTCCCTCCTTTTACCCTCGGACTCAAGAAAAGCCCAGAATAGAACTATAGATCCCTTATAGTAACCGTGATAGGACCCCTTTAAAGGAACCCTATGTTATGATATTAAGGGTCCCTCCTTTTACCCTTGGAACACTGGGAGATGGCCCGGCTCAGGTATCACCCAGTCTACCGGGACATTCTTTACGCGCGCACCTGGGTTTGAAAATGAACGGCCCCTGAGGGTTTTTTAGAGTTGGGATTTAGGGTTTAGAGGTGGGGTTTAGGGTTTAGAGTTAGGCGTTTAGGGTTTCGATCTGGGGGGTTTAGGGTTTAGGGTCTAGAGTTAGGCGTTTGTGGTTCAGATCTAGGAGGTTTTGGGGTGAGAAATTATAACTTGTCTAAAGGTATGGCCGTTAAGCAGTTTGCGTGAGTTGCCTCAACAAAAGAACCCCATTAAATCCGATGGTGACAGTTAGGGTTTGGGGTTTTATCAATGGGATTGGAGGGTTTGGGGTCGGAATAATACCCCGGTCCGAGTTTGGTTTGTTTTGCAGGTTGTGGGGTTCAGGGTTGCGTGTTACTAGTCAAGGTTTGGGGTCTAGTTAGTTGCTCGTGACTTTAAGTGGCAATCTGAGACCGCTGTACATATTCGGTCAGTAGGTGGGATACACTACTTGGAGGGTCGGGGGACTTAGTAAGTAGGTAGTAAGGAGACTTATAAGCACCCTTAAAGAAATCGTAATTGGGGTTATGGTACTTATAAGTCCCTAAAATCACTAGTTAGTAAATCCCCCCGACCCTCCAAGTACAGCCTAGACAAGTGTGCTTCGCTACCAGAGCTCCGGGATGCAGCGGCCTTGGCTTTTGGTATTCTGGTGCCTGACGCCACCACGCCAATGCAATGTTCTAACGTCCTCCAGGCCATGAACCCTGAACCCTAAACCCTAAACCCCTAAACCCCTAAACCCTACACCCCTAAGACCCTAAACCCCTAAGCCCCTAAACCCAACCCCTAAACCCCTAAAACCCTAAGCCCCTAAACCCTAAACCTCTTTAGCATATATATTTAAACCTTAATGACTTCGTGGATTTAAGGGTTTTCTGCCGGGAAAACCCTTAAATCTTACTTCGTGGCCCGGAAATCCCGGGGTCCGGCCACGAAGTAGGATTTAAGGGTTTTCTGCCCCGGAATCCGCCCACGGAAAACCCTTAAATCCTATTTCGTGGCCGGAAATCCCGAGATCTGCCCGCGAAATAAGATTTAAGGGTTATGTTAACAATGTTAATGTTGTGCTAACGTTCGGTAATGGTAGTTGTAAGCTGTGTATGAAAGTAAAACTCTTTATTTGCAAATGTTATGGGATTCTAAGGGTGGGTGGGTCTGGGTGTTCTTTCTAGACCATAGACTCTACTTTACTGTAAAACTGCTCGATCCGGAGCTGCTGAACCCCTAAACCCTAAACCCCTAAACCCCTAAACCCTAGCCAGTTTTGAGCTTCGCGGCTTCAGGGAGTGCACCCATAGAAGCCCTCTAGTCAGAGACTTCAATATCCCTTGATTACGGAATGCACCTTAAATCAGTTTTGGGAGCCTACCATAATTGAAAGTATATCCCTTAATTGAGGAATGTACCTTAAATCAGTTTTGGGGATCCTACCATAATGGAAGGTATATTCCTTAACTAGGGGATATTGGAGTCTCTGGGCAGTCAGCTGCTGATGCAAGCATCATTGTCATCGCCAGTCATCCCTAAACACTAAACCCTACAGCCAATGATTTTCCTGTTCTTAGTTGTAGAGTAGATACCCTTTCACTGTGGGGGGGGGGGTGTATCATCATCCTTCATTATATCACCCCAATGCTTTTTGCTCCTCTAGGATTCTAAACAACTCAGTCTTCACGAGCGTTATCACCATGGTGGCGGTGGCAGTCGTGGTCTCGTCATCGTCGTGGTCGTGATTTGGGAGTTTCCGAAAATTAAGGGTCCCCAATCTAGTACCCTAAATTGTAGGATCCTTATTATGAGGACCCCAAAAAGGCACCCTAATTTTCGGAAACTACCATTTGGGTTGTCGTGTCCCTGCACACTGCTACAGCCGACTGCGCCATCCCTCGAACCCGGGTTCCTTCAAGTAAGGAGTATAAACGGGTTCCTTTAAAGGGAGTCCCTTCGAGGGTTACTATAAGGGGGACTTTGGGGTTCCTTTAAGACCCCTAATGCAGGTGCCTGCGTAAAGCAATTCGCAAATACTGCTGCCCTTATTGTACTTATCTTCGTAGTAGGGTAGATAACCTGTACCTTTGGTGTGGTATGACCCTTTCTTTCGTGTGTGTGTATATATATATATATATATACAGATATGAGCGCACACACACACACACACACACACCGAAGGTTAACCTTTAGATCCCTTCGGATATTGGACAACAAAGTTATACTAGAGTGGACCCGCAAGACCCTCATCATATCATTTGTTCTTGTTATTAAGGGCCTTATATTGCATAGGGCTCCATCTGCTTTTGCGTTTCCCAAACATGCCCTTAAACGGATTGGCGTGTCCGGGCCATTTTTCAAATTTCAGCTGGGTTATATGTACCTGATGATGTGTTTTAGGCCTAGTTTAGGATCTTAGTTTGGGAGTCCAGCCTCTGGTTCATCTTTTCCATTGGGGTTTAGGGTTTGGGGTTCAGGGTTTGCGGTTTAGGGTTTAGGGCAGGACTCGGGATGTTGCTACACCAGGAAATTACTACGACATCTTCTTTTTCGACCTCCGCGGCAACCTGATTTATTCTGCAACGCAGCTGAAGCATAGGGTGTGGGATAAGTATCGCGGGTGGCTTGGGGGCTTTGAAGGCTTTGGTTTCGCCTGAACCCCAAAACCCTGAACCCAGTCGCCAAGTTCCCTAAGATGCCCAGTAGTACCCATATTCCCTTTTCGTAGTCCTAGGTTCCTTATACAGTTACAGTACCCAAAACCAAAGAAGGGAGCCTTTTGTATTCCTAGCACACTGGCCATCCTAGGGAATGAACCCGACCCAGCACATGGTCGGGTCATGCACCGGTCTGAACGGTAGGTGGACTAGACCTAGTAGTAGAGTAGGTAACCTTTAACCGATAGGCGCCTACATAATTACCAATATTGTTTTGGGGGGTTCCTTATTACAATGTTAGTGTAACATACCCCAAACTTCTTCTAATAGTCAAAGCCCCTGAAGCACAGGAAGCTGCGCTGTGTAGGAGGTTTCGAGAACAAGCGACTCGAAAATGTGTTCCTACGTAATGTAGGAACCTGATTAAGAAACCCTGGGCCTATAACTCCAAAACAGAAGGGTTCATATAAGGAACCCTAATAAAGGTGCAAGGTCTCTTAATCAGGTTCCTACACTATTATAGTGCCCTTATAGATCCCTTATAGGAACCCTTATAGACCCCCTTAAAGGAACCCTAATAAGGGCCCAAGGTTTCTTAACCAGGCTCCTACATTCCTCCAGCCGGAGGAGCTTAAAGTTCGGGCTATGTTCAGAACATACCGGATTCAGGGCCTTTAGGGCTTTTGGGGCTTTGGGGCTTAGGGTTTAGGGCTTAGGGTTTAGGGTTTAGGGTTTAGGGCTTAGGGTTTAGGATTTAGGGCTTAGGGTTTAGGGTTTAGGGTTTAGGGTTTAGGCTTAGGGTTCAGTTCAAAACATACCCTGAAAATATGAGTCCCTAGAGCCTTAGGTTAAGTCTTCGTTGCAGGGTAGTTTTGTAAACCATGCTCTAGAAGTTGTGGTGAACCGGCAGAACAAAGGTTGATTATCGTTGATTCCGACAGGGCTTGCAACGGAAGGAGGTGGTTTGGTTCTGCTTCTGGCGGCCTACACTAACTGCCATAATTTGGGTACTGCCCCCACTCAGTAACAGTTGGGTAAGATTCATAATATAGATATATTAGGACCTTAATAGTGGCCCTATTATATGGACTGTTACTGTATGGGCCATGGTCTGGTTCCTTGTTGTAAGGTCTTGTCCTGAGAGTTTGACTCCTCTGCCTTGATCCGCTTAAGGAGCTGACTCTTCCAAACGGGGTTTGGCAAGGAAACTTAGGGTTTAGGGTTTAGGGTTTAGGGTTTAGGGGTTTAGGGTTTATACCCCACAACGCTGGATGGCTCGACTTACCTTGGGTTAGTAGGGAATGGAGGAATGGGGTGCAATTGTAACTACTATTACTACCGTTCTACCATTCCCTACTAACCGAAAGTAAGTCAATAGAAGCTTAGCGCTTGACACAGTCAGAGGCCTCCAGATTGTCCGTTGGAGGTTTTCGTGTGAAAGCTGTAATCTCTGCGCCCCATGAACCGATGAGCGCCGTCCCAGAGGGACTATAGACGCCGCAAGCCAGAGGGGGCTTAATACCTTGCAACACATATTTGCTAGTTACCCTAAGCCCAAATACCTGATCATCAGCTCCTTTTGGCCCTTAGACCCTGAGGGAAATTGCCTATGTATTGATGGGCCGTTGTGCGCCACATCATAAAGCGGCCTTAGTAACATTACACTGTAGCTATGTAGGGACTACTACTGTACTACTAGTCGATATCAGCCACCTAGATTGCTTCACGAGCCTTGAGGCTAACAAGCCTGGATGCAACATAGCCGATGAGCACTAACTGCGACCGTGAGCCAGTTGGACAACAAATGCCTCCCCTCGGTATTGTCATGGGTTCGACGTCCACAGCACAGGCTCTGAACCTTAAGCCGTATCCTCGGCGGCAATCCATGGCCGGCTTGATCGAGAAACACGGTGCGGTTGACAACGAGCCTTGGCTCTTCGAATCCGCAAGGGAAATATCGGAGTTTCCGAAAATAGGGGACCCTATAATATAGTACCCCAAATAGTCGGATCCTTGTTATAAGGACCCCTAGGTACGGTACCCCTTCATTTCGGAAACTCCCATATCGTCGACGCAAAACCTCACTCACTCACTGCTCCTGCGGGCATCTCTCTAAGTTCCACCGCGAGAAAGCACGGCTTGCCTCTGAAAAACACTTCGTGAACCACAGGTGGCCGTGGCACTATGGCACACCAGGGCCGTGCCAGCGCTGCGCTGAGCGGCGGACGGTGTGCAAGGTCACCCAGCGCTCGTGGATCCAGCACATCAACACATGCACCACCGCAATGCGATAACCTCCGATAACTTTGCCCACAGCCACAAAGATGCAAACATCATGACTTCAGCGCGAAGTGTCGAAATCTAAACCCCAAATCTTCACGCCGCAACACCGCAGCCTTGTAGCCTTGACGCACTAAGCCATGCTACTTAGACCATGAAGACAGGAAGCCCCCTAAGCCCTAAACCTCTAAACCCAGACCCCTAGAACCCTCAACCCTAAACTCCCCTAACCCTTAACAAAATGAGGTCTACAAAGAGCTAAACTTCCCTAACTCTTTAAAAGAACCATGAGGTCTACAAAGAGCTCGACTACGCAACAAACTTTGCTGCCAATGGCACTGGCGAGTGGAAAGACTCGGGCCTCGGTGAGGCGAAATGTTCCTGGTGATTAGGCTTTATCAGGGGCCTCGAAAGGTAGGATGAAGGTAGGTGGGGTAATCCCCGAATAAGAGTCCTTATATAAGGGATCCTTCATCCTAGCTACCTTCGTCCCACCTTTTGAGGCCTCCAACTTTAGGACTTTAGGACTTTAGGGTTTATAAAGGGTTTAGGGTACTTTAGGGTTAAGGGTTTAGGATACTGTAGGCCTTCAGGGTTTAGGGTACTTTAGGGTTGAAGCATCGTTGGTGCTCTTTTTTTCTATCCAAGGGTAAAAGGGTGGACCCTCAATGAGGACCCCTAGGTCTTTTCCCCTTAATATACCTGTTATATACCCAATAAATTATATACATGTAGCCCATTATAGGGTAGGGGTTCCCATTAAGGGTCCCTCCATTGCCCTTTAGGATGCCCAGTAGTATCCTTTTCCCTTTTTGTAGTCCTAGGTTCCCTATGAAATGACCCAACACCAAAAAGGGAGCCCTTGTATTCCTAGGTTACTGGGCATCCTAGTTATCGGCTTTTGCTCGGACCCAGAGTAAGCCCTTATTCCTTTTTTATGGTTCAGGTTCCCTTACAACCCCCTTTGAACCTAAAAGGGCACCCTTTTTATCCCTAGGTTACGCTTAGGTTTAGTTTAATAATCATACCAACCATAATAAACAGTAATGGGAACAAGGCCAATAATGATATGAATAAATGTCATTGTTATTGTGGCTCTAAGAGTTTTGAACATTGTCTTTGCTATTGTGGCTCTACGGATTTTGAGGGGAATGCGTAAATACCTGGATAGTCGAGGTATTGTTAGTTGGAGCTACGCTACAATACCGATACAAGCCGGGTAGCATACAATTCTACTTGTGTGTGTTCTTTGCTTAAGTTGGAGGGGCTTTGGACAGTTTCTGTTTCGGGTTTAGAATTGTGGCTTATTGGGGTAGTAAGAAAACCCTGGCGGCCTATAAGCCCAAAATAGCAGGATTCATAGAAGGAACCCTAATAAAGGCCCAAAGTCTCTTAATCAAGTTCCTGCATCTAAACCCTAATACCCTAAGCCCCAAACCCTAAACCCTAATACCCTAATACCCCAAATCCTAAACCCTCAACCCATTAGCCGTGTGTCTTCAGTCTTCGGTCCGGCAAGACAATCGTACGGCCAGCCTCGTATCTTTGGGGAATTGAGAAGTATTCTTAAGACTTTGGTTATTATAATCCCATAAGAAACAGCTAAAGTTGTAGTTTTTGCTAGGGTCTGAGTTCAGTATCGGTATTTCTTCCGAGCAAAAGCCGCATGTTGGGTTCGGGGTTGAGGGTTTAGCACTCTCAATGTGGTTCCACATGGGAGTTTCCGAAAACTAGGGGGACCTTATTTGGAGGTCCTTATAATAAGGATCCTACTATATACTTGGGGTACTATATTAGGGTCCCCTGTTTTCTGAAATTCCCATATCTTGCTGTCGCTCCGTTTGTTGGTACTGTAGAAGCCTGAACCATTTCGGGGGCTTCTTACTGTAGTCTTAGTCTAATATAACTCCAAACCTTATTCTCTTTGCTAAGGCCCCTGTGGTAGTGCCATTGAGAAATCTACTGCTGAAGCTGGTGCGACAAGTGCTGACGGTATCAGCATTGATGAGGGCAAGTTAGGACAAGGACGACGACGAGGCCTCCGACGACGACAAAGACATCGGGCCTGCGCAAAGCGGTCATCACCAAGCACATGGCGAAGTTGAAGCCTACCGTTTCTTTACATCTGCGGGGATGAGGATGCTACTGATGATGGTGACTCGACAATGGTGATGATGGTGATAGTATGGTGATGATCATGATGATGTCGGTGGTGAGGGTGATGACGACAATGATGACGGTGATGACGATGATGATGATGATGATGATGACTTTGGCACTCAGCTCGATGATGATGCCGATGTCGCTGACTCTCGTGATGCTAATGATCTTGATGGTGATGACACTGATGATCGTATTGATGGTGGTATGCTGCCATTGGCTGTGCTATGATATCTGCGGCACAGGATCATTTAGGGCTTACTCTTGCCACGAAGGGTGAAACCATCTCAGCGCCGGATCTCTAGCTATATAGGTTGGGTTTTGGGCCAGGTTATGTAAGAGGTATAGGCTTTCGGCGTTCAGTGCGGCTTCCGACATTTCGGCTATGGATTCCGGAGGTGTGCGAATTCGGCGTTGCCGAAGCCGCACCAACAGCCTAATAGAGGTACCTCAACGTTTGGCAATGTTATTCCGTGTCCTGCGGTTCCTGAATGAATTCATGGTATATATATATATATATATACACTATATATATATAGGCACACACACACACACACACTGCTGAGAACTTGTGTAATTGTTCGTCACCTTTTGGGAGGCGCTGGGAGTCACAAGCCCCTGACGTGAATTCCCCAGCAAATTCAAAGTCCGCTTCAGCTTGCCCGTATAGTGTTTTATTGATTTTTCCGGGCTTTACAGGTTCTAGGATGCCCAGTAGTACCCAATTCCCTTTTTGTAGTCCTAGGTTCCTTATAAAGTTACCCAATACCAAAAAGAGAGGCCTTTTTATTCTTAGGTTACTGGGTATCCTAGGGTTGTTTTGAGGGCAGAGGGGTTCTGGTTGTCTAGTTGCTTCGCGCGTGCTTTTTCAATTGCTTGAGGGCTTTGGGCTTGAGAGAGAACAGCAGCTGAGGCGCCGAACTAATTCCCGGCTAGACTAGCCATGACCATAAACCCCACCTACACCCAAGCAATACAAAAACCTGCGAAATTACAGATACTGTTGCTTAGGGCTCCTTAGTTTTCTTATACTCAATGAAACCATAAGATATTTTGCAAAAATCGAGTCTTGTTATTGTTGTTTCTGTGATCATTGTTACTAGGCCCTCCTTACTCGGTATTTTGATGAAGACCCTCCAGGATAGTGTTTTAACTTACTGCTCCTGGTCTTCACGTGGACTCTCTGGTATTCCGGTGGTTACAGTAGAAGCCAGAAAGTTGGAACACTATTGTTCGCATGCCCTTGATCCTAGCACTAACCATCTAAATCCATTTTCAAACTTTCTGGGCTTCACTATAGAACCAGGTCAGTAGTAGGGTAGATACCTTTAACCTATTTGGGGTATTATGATCCTCATGAATGTAATCCCGACGATAATCGACAACACTTTTAGTTCGCTTAGGATACTGGACACCCGAAATTCTCCGCTTTGCCTTACACTTTTAGTTTTTGATTAAGGTGTGGGTAGGGTTTAGGGCTTATATGGGTTTGCGATTCGAGCACCACTCGTCCCACATGTTTTTTTAGGTTTTAGTCGTTTTGATCCGAGGCTTCGTGCATTGCAGCCCCGTGCTCAACAGAGGGTCCTGAAGCTAATCCCCAAGCCCTAAACCCTAAACCCTAAACCCTAAACCCTAAAAAAAAAAAACCTAAACCCCCAGTAATCTCATTTTGCACATTGACAGGCCTTCGAGGCTGCGATGCGGAACCCAAACCAGATCAATGTCATCGACTGGAAACCCTATGGGATCTGGCCTGAGAGCACTGGGTTCATAGGGTCGGGGTTTAGGGTATTTGGGTTTAAGGTATTAGGCTTGAGGGTTGGGGGGTTTCATGTAGGAACCTGTTTAAGAAACCTGGAGCCTTTATCAGGGCTCCTTATTTAAATCCTACTATTTTGGGGTTATAGGGCCAGGGCTTCTTAATTAACCAGGTTCCTACAGTAGGGTTGGGGGCTAGGGCTGAGCGAGCTGAAAATTCCCGGCTTGATGAGTGCTAAACCCTCAGCGACTTCATATACCCTTTAGGTACGGCCCCCACTCAGTGATAGTTGAATAATAATATTCATAATATGGATATATTAGGACCTTAATAGTAGCCCTATTATAGACTCTTACTGTATGGGGGCCGCGCCCAATATACCCTAAACTCAATGGCTTGACAAACCCTTTGATAACCCCTGAGCCCTCCTTCAACCTGCGCCACACCCCTAACCCAGAAATTTGGGGAGGGTTTATACCCCTTTAAGGCATCTAGTGTGGATCCTCCCAGGGGTTTGGGAGATCCGTGACTACATTATGAGCTGGAGAACAGCGAACCGCTAATCAGTTTGGATGACGGATTGCCAGAGCCCCTTGCTTGCCTAGCTCTCTCAGGGACACACAAGGTACCCCTAGCCTATAACTCACCCTAAACTATACCCTAAACCCCTAAACCCCTAAAACCTAAACCCCCAAACCCCTAAACCCTAAACTCTAAACCCTTAACCCTTTCAACTTGTCACTTTAGCTCATACTGAGATCTTATTTACCTTGGGGTAGTAGGGAATGGAGGAATGGGGTGCAATTATACTTACTATTGCTACCATTCTTCCATTCCCTACTAACCAAAGGTAAGCATATGGTTAGCTTCAGTAGGCCTGTGCCAGTTTTACACCCTAAACCCTAAACCCTAAACCCTAAACCCTAGGCCTGTGCCAGTTTTACACCTCCAAACCCTGGAGTCTCGAAGCTCAATCCCCACACGACGGTTGAGGGTTCAGGGTTGAGGGTTCAGGGTTGAGGGGTTTAGGGGTTTAAAGGGAACTCCAAAAAGTTGGAATATGGTGTCATGGTAGGATACCCTATAATTTACCATATAAGGGTTAGGATATTCATATTCCAACTTTCTGGCTTTTACCTTAGGGTTCAGGGTTCAACATGGAGGGTTGAGGGTTTCCCTCTGAGCCTTTGTTTCTTTCATGCAGGGATTCTGTTAGGCATTGCTGGGTTTAGATGTACCCAGACCCCCGGGAGGATCGGAAATTTAATTTGGGACCCTAAAACTACGAACGAGCACGTTATAGGAATCCCTTCTAAGGCATCTAGTTTTTTTGATCCTCCCAGGGGTTTGGGTCGGGTTCAGAGAGTCATGGCTTAGCGTCTTGGCGGATTAGGGTTGGCCTAGATAGGGTTTAGGGTTTAGGGTTTTAGACTCTTCCAACTTGGCACAGTACTATCCCTTATAGACAGAACTGAAATTGTGCACGGGCAAATGAACTCAGCCACTAAGCTTCCACTATAGCCCTGCACCTTAAAACCTATAGGCCTGAACCCTTAACTTAAACCTTACACCCTAAACCCTGAGACCTTGCACCCTAAAGCCTAAACCGGGCTTTCTCATGGCCTTTGACCCGGGAACCTAACTTCCCCATCGATCTTTTCGACTTCAAAGACGACTCTCAGATTGAATCCTTCACGGGTACAGGGTTTAGGGTTCAATCCCCCGGATCCACCTGTCCGCCTCGGAAAGCCTGGTAGTAGAGTAGGTAGCCTTTAACCGAACTTTAACCTTTTCGGTAATTTGTATAGTCCCTCATCTCTATATAACCAAAAGGTTAACCTTTCGTTCCCCATGATACCCGACAAGTAGAGAAGGCCATGGTATGAATCGGGTTCTTCCCAGTGGCCTGCTTACGCATCTATCTCCAGCGACGAACCCGTTCTTGGTAACTCCCTGAACCCCAAACCCTAAACGGCATCGTTTACAAACCTTCCTGGCTTCGTAAGACTCGATCATAATGTTAGTGTAACCTGCTTGTGGGCAGTGAACTCAGCAAATTGATCTCAACCCCTTTTGCACGCCACCTGATATGGCCGTTTATAGCTATGTCTGTTTGTGATTGCTGGTTTGAGTTTTCGGCATTGGTCTGAATGCCCATCTTCCTACCAGCTTCGTCATGATGGAGGTCTGTAGTGGTTTTGATTGTTTTCATGCTGGGTTCGTTCTTTGACCCATGTTTGAGCCAGCCTTGATCGATTACTGATTCATGCTTGGTTTGATGTCGGTTTGTGTTTTGATTTGCTTGCTGTTTGGTTGAGTATTGACTTATTGTTAATTTGCTTTCGGTTGCTTATTGAGTCTTGATGTGTTGTTAAATCGTCTTGATTGGTTCCGGGCTTTGGAGTACTATACTTTAACATTATTGTTGGTCCTGGTACTTCTTTAAAGTGGACCATTAAGAAAAATCTATACTTTCTCACTGGTCACTTCAGAGCCAGGTTTTGGCTTCCTTGAACATAAACCATGGTAGTAGGGTTTAGGGCTTAGGGTTTAGGGTTTAGGACCATGGTAGAACCAGTTGTGATTGCGTTGGTTGTTGCTGGCTCTTTTGTTTTATTGATGCTTTTGGTGTTTGACGTGTTTTGGATTTGCTTAGGTTTGTCGACATGTCGCAGGTTTTTTACTCGAAGCCTACTAAACAGGTTTCGGGTGGCAATTTTTAAATATCGTTTCACTGTGCCCATAATGGTGAGGGCGATTATGACGGTATTCCGACCCCTGTCTTACAAGCCCCTATGGAATCCTAAACCCTATGTCACTTGAAGAACCTATTGCTCAGGTACTGCCCCCATACAGTAAGGGTCTATATCAGGGCCGAAAGATATCTATATTATGAATATGATGAAATATTACTGAGTGGGGGCCGTACCCAACCTATTGCACACCTTCCAAGCAGTGCCGAACTCAAAGCTCCTAAGCAAGGTGGCTGAGTGAATGGTTTAGGGTTTAGGGTTTAGGGTTGGTGCACTTGTAGTAGATAAGCCGCAAAACCCCCACTCGAAGTATCAAGGCCTCCGCATAATACTCCCTATAGAGCCCCAAAAGAAACTATGCTGGCCCTTCTGCTATAAGACTTTTTGAGGAACCCGAGTTTAACCCTAACTCATCCCTTATCGCCACTTCCAGGCCGAGCTATGGCGCTCTTGCCAGTTTTTTGTCCACGGGCATTAAGAAGAACGGTGCGCTGATTGGCGTGTTTTGCGGCTTGTCTTCTTCTAGCTGTCTGGGGGTCTCGAGGCTTTAGACTTTAGGGTCTGCCTGGAAGCTTTGACCTGCAACTCCTTTCAAATTCCCAAGACCCAAACACTCTCAACCCTTAGAACAAACAAACACCCGAAATCCCTGAACCTGGATCCTCAATCCTGGACGCGATTTCGGGTCTCGGATTCGGAAGGAAGGGGCCTCGTGGTTAAGAGTTGCTTGTATTCATGAACTTTCGGACATTTTGTATTTGCTCTTGTTGGGCATACGAGGATCCTACCTACTAGCATTTTTCAAAGGCTTTACAAGCACCTCCTAGTGGATGCAAACTAATGCCAAGCCTTCAGGCACACAAATGCCGCCAGAGTCCAAGCCAATCACCGTCGCGGAAATGGAGCCGAAACTGAACGCTGTGAACCGGACTGCAATAACATAGGTCCCTGAATGATTTGAACAGGGTTCCGTGGTCCGGGGGCAGACAGTATCAAATTTTGGACAGATACTTGGAGGGTCGGGGGACTTAGTAAGTAGGTAGTAAGTAGACTTATAAGTACCCTAAAAGGAACCCTAATTGGGGTTATGGTACTTATAAGTCCCTAAAATAACCAGTTACTAAGTCCCCCGACCCTCCAAGTAACCTGGGGACTATCAGGAGAAATTGTCGTTGACTGTTCAGGCCTCTAGATTAGGGCTTTCAGGTCCCCAATGTTCAGGATTCGGAGTTCCGATGTTGGGGTTTCGAGTTCGGTAAGGGCACGGACTATACGGCGCTCTGGATGGCCTGCAGACATACGAAGCATTTCTGCAGGTAGTAGAATTTCGAGGCGTTGCGAACCACAAGATGCTTGAGTCTAAGCATTACATGGGTGGTTGTCAAAATTCTGGTCCTTGGGTACCCCAAATAAAAGGTGCCGTATTACAATAGGGACCTAAAAAGGGAACATAATTTTGACAACCACCCACATGTTCATCAGAACAGCCTCTACACACCCTCACACCCGCCAGACTCCTTTGTGAACTCGGGCCCGGGGTTCTGTCAAACTCCCAATGCCTTGCTTGAATTGTGAGAATGAGCTCAATGCCAGTGTTGTTGTGTACCGATTCTGTCTTGTTTGTGAGATTTTGCATAGCCTCTTTCTGGTAGCATGAAGCTTTCATTTGTTTTTTTGGTTTCGTGGGTTTCTTGCGTTTCGCTTGTTGTCTTCTTAACCTTTAGCCTTTTTTGGGTACTATCATGCTATGTAGCCCCAGAGGTTACAGTGGTCAAAGGTTAACCCGAAGTCCCTCCAGGCTATCCCTGGGCATCAAAATAGCCCAAAAGCTTTATATAGTATGGTCTTTGGGCCCAATAGCCTTAATATATGAGTCCTTAGATGCCTAGGGTATGGGCAAATAAGTTATTGACTGGAGCTCAGTGAAAGATGGCGGCAGAATACTCGTGGCTCTTCGGACACTTGCGCATGGTTTAGGGCTGTTGCAGAGAATTGCGGAAGCAAGATGCCGTCTATACCCCTGCATCATACCTTTCGCCTTTCGCCGGGAGTCTTGCTTGTCGATGCTCTAAACGCAACAAACCTCAGAAGGATTTGAGATTTCCTATATGCCATCAAGTTTAAACACTCACTCCATGGGAGTTTCAGCATATGAGGGACCCTACTGATCCCTACTATCCCTACTGTAATCCACACGTGTTAGAATAACGGGTGGATGAGGTACCCCTTGGGTAAGGTGCCGCTGTTTTAGTAGGTTCGACCTGCAGCCTAATTAGGGTTTTGGGTTCAAGGGCTTTAAAGTGCCCTAATGTAGACCCTTGGTCAGTGGAACCCACATTCTTCAATAAGGGTTATGCTAGTTAATTGTGATACCACAGGCCGTAATGGAAGGATCTTCCAGTAGGGTTTAGGGTTCAGGGTTTGGGTTTAGGGGGCCCGAGCCACCACCGACGAGATACAGGACAGCCTCGCGCAAGCTGTCAGGGTGACAGGTCAATCGGGTGTTTGCATCAACCTCTAAACTCTGAAATCCTCAACCCCAAACGACAGCGCCTGGTGGAGGGATCCGCCTGATATCAACCTATGGCTCGTCACTTGAGAATCTCTCATGCAAGTATAAAAACTGCAAGCCTAGATACCCTAATATAGAGGCCCTAGTAAGTTGAACAAGGCTTTGGGGGAACGATGTGGCATCAACATAAGAAGCAAGCCTAAGGAATCCTGTTGATAATGAATCGGGCATAAACCCTAAAATGTACCGGGACCCCCCCAACTGTCCTTTAGCAGAGCCTCTAGAGCCCTTATGGTCCTTGATAGTGGGTATTTGTTGTATCTCGGGGCTAAACCTGAACCCTAAACCCTAAACCCGAAACCCTTAAACCCTAAACCGTTAAACCCTATGGAAGCTCTGGAAGCCGGAGAGGCCGAAGCAGCGCAACACCTGGCCATCAATGCCTACATCGAAGGACACGGCCTCAAAGCTAAAAGGTTCAAAGGTATTGCGAGGGCTCCATAACATGGTGTTCTATAAGTCTAGAAGGGCTTATCAGTTCGTGGTATTCAGGGTTTAGTGAGGGATCTCGGTTGAAGCTTCTTTGTGGGCAGTTGCGCTCAGCACGAAGTCAAAGTCCCATCCCGTCTTTTCGCCTGCGCCTGGCTTTTGCTGGGTCCTGGGCCCCCAACCCAAAGCCAAAAGCTGAACCCGAAATGCTAAAACCCTAAATCCTAAGCCCTAAACCCTAAACCCAAAAGCTAAACTCAAAATACTAAACCCCTCAATCCTAAACCCTAAACCCAAAAGCTAAACTCAAAATACTAAACCCCTAAATCCTAAACCCTAAAACCCAAAAGCTATATCCAAAATGCTCAAACCGAAAGCGAACTTAACAAGGAGTCGGGGAGTCTCTGCTCTCCGAGAAGGGCTCTGCTTAAGGTTTCTTTGGTGGCGAATGATACGGTTGATGATATAAATCCTGCATTACCTTAAGGACCCTAAACTATGGGAATTATGGCATGTTCCTTATAATGGGTAATGCAGGATTTATATCATCAACCGTAACCCAATTCCTGCTGAGATTCCTTATGTACTACTCTTAAGGATTGAGGCTATTGGGCTTCTACTGTAGGTTTAAGCAAAATCCCGTGGCCTTGGGCACTTAAAGCCTAGGAAACTAGGATGCCCAGTAGTACCCTTATTCCCTTTTTGTAGTCCTAGGTTCCTTATAAAGTTACCCAATACCAAAAAGAGAGGCCTTTTTATTCCTAGGCTACTGGGTATCCTAGATAGCAAGGAGGCTCCTTGGCTAGAGGTAGAGTTCATTAGGCTATACAGTAGAAGCCAGAAAGTTGGAACATCATTATCCTCATGACCTTAAGGTAAAGTATAGGGAATCCCAGCACGAATCATACTGAATTTATGTTCCAACTTTCTAGGTTTAACTGTATAGCCTCCTTAGGAGTCTTTCAGTTTTGTTCATATAACACCCAAGAGAATAATTAAAATACTATCAATATAATAGTTCCAAGGGTGGTATAGATAGGAAGTAATGGCATGGCAGGTAACTAGCTGGATAAGCTGCTGTTCCTCGTGGCCCTAGTCGTTACTGCCCATGAGGCTGCAGCCAAGACTAGGCCTCTCTGTTCCGGGGGACTTAGTAACTGGTTATTTTACGGAGTTAGCAGTACCATAACCCCAATTAGGGTCCCTCTTAGGGTACTTATAAGTCTACTTACTACCTACTTACTAAGTCCCCCGACCCTCCAAGTAAAGCCAAAGGTTCAAGGTTTAGGGGTTTAGGGTTTAGGATCCTGCACGCTTGGACTTCCAAGGAGTGCACTCAGCTCGCAGGCATTCGTGTTTGATATTCCCAGTATTAAAGTAGGCAAGCTTTAACCTTTTTTGGGGGTAGTATAGTCCCTACATACTCCCTATTCACCGAAAAGGTTAACCTTTAGTTTGCCAATGTTTGCCATGATACCCGACAAGTAGGTATTTGGCTGCCCACTGTGGACTGGGCCTTAGGATTCGGGGCGGTTTAGTGGTGTTCAGAGTGTAAGAGCCTGAATCAGCATTGATACTATATGGGGGGGGGGGGTCAAAATTAGGGTACCCTTTTGGGTCCTTATTATGATACGGCACCTAATATTTAAGGGATTCAAAAAGGGACCATAATTTTGACAACCACCCATATTAGAGAACGAAACTAACGTTAACATAAGAACGACGGATCCAGTCGGAGGAGGATGCCCCCCTAGTTACTTAGTTTTGGGGCTCCTTATTACCATATGTATAGTATACTATACCCCGATACCCTGTTCTAGTTGTTGAGGCCCCCAAATTCCTGGGCTTCCATGAATTTGCGACGGCGACTCTCCTACGACATTGAAAAGCTGTCTCTCTCAACTGTGGCCAAGTTCTGTCAGTGATCCACTTCAAGCAGCAGCATAGGGTTCAAGAGCATCGCGTTTTGTCACAACAACACAACCAATGCTGTAAGAGAAAAGCCGAACACAAGTCCAATACTGTGGGGGCCTTAGTATCTAGAATGTGGTTGTAGGGGTTCCTGATTATAAGTGTAGTACAATATACCCCAAGCCATATTCCAATTATTCAGGCCCTCATATCATAGCACCCGTATAGTAACCCGTTAAAGGAACCCCATTCTAGTTATTAAGGCCCTCACAGTAACCCCCTTTCGAGGAGGAGGAGCTTGCGGGTATGAACTCACCATTCAGCAGTACGAGGCGGTTTAGGGTTTTGCGGTTTAGGGGTTTTCAGGAACCCCAAAAGCACCCAAACGTAAGCTCTCTTGGTGGGATATCCCGCCCTTACTGGCTGGCTTAAAGAGGGGATTATGGGACATCCTGACGGGTTTACAGCGAATCCCAGAAAGTTGGAACATGCGTTTAGGAGGGTTCGTGCTAGGATCCCTCATACTTCGACCATAACGGCATGAGGAGAACGATGTTCCAACTTTCTGATTTCTACTATAGGGATCCCGTGGCTTAGGATTCAGGGCCGAACACAGAGGCCTACTGGGTAGTGGTACCCCCTCATAAGGTCGATCGCAATTCCAGTATACCATATCCGCAAACGCTATTCTAATCATTGAGGCCGTTTTTTAAACCTTACAAGAAGTCTTGTACAACCCTTGAAGGAATCCCTTACCGACATCCTGTTCCAACTCTGCAGGCCTGTAAGGTGACTTGTGTCGCCTATGCTTTCTAGAAACCCTGAGCATAGACCCTGAGCCATAGAGAAAAAAGCCGCGGACTTCTCCACTCACTCTACTCCGAGACTCAGTCGTTTGGCAGAGCAGGGTGCAGAGTCCTTAGAATATCGAACTTGCTATTAACGTCCGATCAAGGCTTGTAATGAGGATTCAGTACTTGTCTGTCTAGGTTTGTATTCGGGCCCCATAATATTCTGGACTCCCACTTCACCTCCGAGTCCCCGAGCCCTTCAAGTGCAATCCCAACGGTCTTGGGCTTAGGCTCGAAGCCATCGCTACGGCCGTCACTGTCCCCATCATCGTCGTCAGGTATCACTGTGTCAACATCATCACCACCATCAACAGCAACATCATCATTAGCAGTCATTATCATCTTCATCATTTCAATCACCACTCCCATTAGGTCGCACCATTTCTACGGCTGATTGGCGGGTCGGTCGGTCGGTCGGGTTGTTGGTCTGGCGGTGGGACGATTGGGGGTTGGGCGGTTGGGCAGTTGGGTGGTTGGGTGGTGGGAGTGGTGGGGTAGAAGGGTGGGTGGGTGAGTGGCGGTTGGTCGCATGATTGCTTTGTCGCTTGTATACTTGATTCCTTGCTAGCACGTGTGCTTGGCAGCTTTCTCGCTTGTTTGATTTGTTTTTTTGGTTGACAGGTTATCTGCTGCCTGTTGCTGCTGCTGTTGCTGTTGCTGTTGCTGTTGCTGTTGCTGTTGCTGCTGCTGTTGCTGTTGCTGTTGCTGTTGCTGTTGCTGTTGCTGTTGCTGTTGCTGTTGCTGTTGCTGTTGCTGCTGCTGTTGCTGCCGCTGCTCGCAGCTGCTGCTGCTGCTGCTGTTGTTGTCAGCCTAGTAGCGTAGAAGTGGCAGTGGCAGTAGCGTAGGAGTAGTAGTAGTAGTAGTAGTAGTAGTAGTAGTAGTAGTAGTAGTAGTAGTAGTAGTTGTAGCAGTAGTAGAGTAGTGGTGGTGGCGGCGGCGGTGGTGGTCGTGGTCGTGGTCGTGGTCGTGGTCGTGGTCGTGGTCGTGGTCGTGGTGGTGGTGGTGGTGGTGGTGGTGGTGGTGGTGGTGGTGGTGGTGGTCGTCGTCGCGGTAGCGGTAGTGGTCGTCGTGGTGCTGGTAGTAGTTTAGTAGTGTTCATAGTGGTAGTAGTGCAAGTAGTGGTAGCAGGAAGGAGTGGGATTAACAGTCACTGTCACTGTTGTTGTCGTCGTTGTGGAAGTTGTTGTGATCCTTGCTGCCGTCGTTGTCGTTGGCTTTGCCATAGCTGCTACAGCCGCCTTGGCTGTTTCAGGTGTCTCAACTGCCAATATGGTTCCGTTTATGTTTAGCTTGTTTCACGTTCACAACCGCTTTATCCCCAGTCGCATTTTTGTTTCGATGATATATGGATAATATGGAGGTACACTGCCGGGGAGTGTCGAGACCGAACCCACCACCGCAACTGTCATAAACCCTAAACTCCTAAATCCCGCAAACTCTACAAAACCCTGTCACGACCTTCATGTACAACCCATCAAATTGAGCCGTGAGAGAACCTACAGCACATGAGTGCTCACACCTTTTGCTGTCTCAGTTGGCGCTGGAGAAAATCAGCAGACTGGAATACAAGCGCCATGCCGTTTCAGATATCAGGTTCTTAGGAGTTTGCGCATTAAAGGCTAGGATGCCCAGTAGTACCCTTATTCCTTTTTGTAGTCCTAGGTTCCTTATAAAGTTACCCAATACCAAAAAGAGAGGCCTTTTTATTCTTAGGATACTGGGTATCCTAGTCAGCTTCCGAGGAGTCTGCGCATTAAAGGTTTACGGCCTTTAGGGTCTAGGCGTTAGGGGTGCAGGGTTCAATCTTTAGGGATTTGGAGCTTAGGATTTATCGCAAGTGCCCAGCCACTGTTGTGGCTCGTATGGACAGGTCATGTATCTTGATCAACTAGGCAGGGCTTTGGGACATTTTATATTTGCTCTTATTGGGCTTGAGAGGATCTTACCTACTAACATTTTTCAAAGGCTTTAAAAGCACCTCCTAGTTAATGACTGATTCACGTTCTGTCAGGGCAGACAGCTAAGCCTGCGAAAACCCTTGATCTTGGCCCTTAAAACCCTCAACCCTTTGTCGCTTTAGACCTCAAATGGCTGTACTGCAACAAACCCGAAGCCGTATGTTCGCTTTCTCGGCTCCTACATGCATTATAGAGTGTAGTTCTTTTGGGTTTGGGGTTTAGGGTTCTTTGGGATTTTCGAGCCCTCGCAGCCAAGACAGTCAGCTGTTAGCTGCACATTTTGGTCGTGTAGGATTGGGGGCGTGGGCTCGCTTAGCTGCTCGTATTTGCGCGCTCGTGGCATGCCGCGGCCCTTTTGTACCTTCCATACTATGCAAACCCTATTCTCGTCATTAAGGCCCCTACTTGAGGGGTAGTTTACATGGCAGGAACTAGCTTTAGGTGAGCATGACTTGCAAATACCTCGGACATCTGAAACGTAGCCTTTTCTCATGCCGTGGACAAAGGCTAACAAGGAAGATTTGGTTGCCGGTTTCGTGCGATTAGCTTGTACGATCTCCTGCGACAAGACATCTCCGAGTATCCATCTCGCAATCAAACTTAACTCGCACGAAACTGATTCGCCTATGGTAGCCCATACTTCAGAAGCTGCAGTGCATCTTCCTTCTTCAACCGCTCAAACTTATGGGTTCTTGTTTTAGGGGCCTTAATAGTTAAAATGGTCTTCGGGGCCCATCATACTATAGTTATAATAAGGAGCCCCCAAAATAGTACAGGAAGTGATCACGGCCCTGATAGCACGGATGTATGGCTGGGTGAGTGCATAGGGACATCTGCAGTCAAACAGTTGGATGTATACTAGTTGTCAAAATTAAGGTCCCTTTTGGGGTACCCTAAATATTAGGTGCCGTACTATATGAAGGACCCAAAACGGGACCCTAATTTTGACAAACACCCACATGTTAATGTGAGAGCATAGAACTAAGTGCATGCACGTACATGAGATGTTCGCATCCATGCGAACACCGCATGCATGCAAGGATGCAGGCATGGTCGCATGAAAGGTTTGTACACGCAATCCGTTCTGTTATGTGCATGTATGTGTGTAGGTCTGTATGTATGTAAGGAAGAACATAAGGGTATGCAGCGGCATGCATGCATATGCGTAGGGACTTAGGACATACACACGTGTAGATGATGGGGATATATATATATATATATATATAATACATAAACAGAAAGATATTACATGTGTATATTTATATGCTTGTATGCATATAGCCATCTATGGTTTGTGTGTATATACGTGCATGTCCGAATACGTGTATACTGTCTGTATACATATATATCTGTATATATATATATGTATATGTATATGTCATCTTCAAGTTATGTACAGTCAGAGACAGGCAGTGCACATATCAAGGAGCATGCATGCCTAGATGCACGCGCACTTCAGCCTCATCATCATACTACAGTACAGTAGACGGTGAATGCACACCCAGGTTTCAGAAAACAGAGACGGAGTTCGCCCTGTTGGCAAGTGGCTTCACGGCCACCTCTCCAGCAAGATGATGGAGTTGAGAGTGCATGGGTTCCTTCAGGGTGCATACATGAAACCTTAAACCCTAAACCCCTACACCCTAAACCTTAATAGCTCTAAGCCTGAAACGCGTGCCGTACAACCAACTCCTCAACCGAGAACCATGTTCCCCAAAGCCATATAGGCCCCAGACCCGAAACTTGGACCCAAAACTGGGAAGCCTGATTCCCCTGAGCCTTTCAACGCTGGTCTTCAAACCCAAGAACCCCAATCAGGGTGACTATGGATACTTTTCGGTAGGCCTTAAAATTTTGATTTTTCCTTGTTGGGCCTAAGAGAGTCTTCATTTACGAATCTATTTCAGAGGCGTGAAAGGGCCAACCTCGTATTCCGGTTTTTAGGATTTACCCTAAAGCCCCTGATCCGCTAAACCCTGGGTTCTTTAAAGGGATCTATAAGGGTTCTTTAAAGGGATCTATAAGGGTTCTTTAAAGGGATCTATAAGGGTTCCTTAAAGGGATCTATAAGGGATCTATAAGGGTTCCTTAAAGGGATCTATAAGGGTTCCTTAAAGGGATCTATAAGGGTTCCTTAAAGGGATCTATGAGGGTTCCTTAAAGGGATCTATAAGGGTTCCTTAAAGGGATCTATAAGGGTTCTATAAAGGGTTTAGGGCTTCCGAAAATTAGGTGGTCTAGGATGCCCAGTAGTACCCTTATTCCCTTTTTGTAGTCCTAGGTTCCTTATAAAGTTACCCAATACCAAAAAGAGAGGCCGTTTTATTCTTAGGTTACTGGGTATCCTAGGATGTCTTGCCAGATGTGGCGTCTTCGTGTTCAGGATAAAGAGCTTTAGGGGTTATTGGGGTTTAGCGTTTAATTTAGGGTTTAGGGTTCAGGAAAAGAGATTTAGGGGTTAAGGGGTGTTGTGGTGCTGGGGTGTTACGGTTTAGGGCACAGGGCTTTAAAGTTGCCTAAGCCCTAAACCCTGCAAAGTGTTTTTCCGGGGTTGTTTAGAACCGTGGAACATGCCGACTCGAGATTGCAGTTGATATAGCAAGGACTAGTCGGATTTTGGGGTGGCAGAAACATGGGTAACGGGTTTAGTACGGGGTGTAAGGCTGTGTAAGGTTTACCATTTAGGAGTGTAGGATAGAAGCTTGAATAGGTACCAATCAATGCCAACCATGAGGATTCCTATGACCTTCATGCTTGAATACACCATTCCTCATCGGAACTCTTCAAAGAGCCGTACTCTTAGGAGTAATTTCTCAATATGCTCTCGGGTCCCGGGCCGCCACCCCCCCCCCCCCCCCCCCCCCCCCCCCCATGGTATCCCCCCCTGCTGCCCTGCTGCTGCACGCCCACCCGCCCCTGCGCCCCGCCCGCCCCCGGCCCGCACTCTGCCCTGCCGTGTGCGGAAAGCGGCAATGGGCTCAGTAGTTTCCAGCATCCGACATGAATTGCAATGCTGAATTATGAGGGTTGTATGGCGATGGTGATGGTGGCAGATATTCTTTTAAAGGTATTAATGATGAAGATGACGACGACAAGGATGATGTTGAGCATGGTCTGATTGTCGACTCATGTCCCGGTCTAGAGCAGCACAACATCATGAGCAGTATCACCGGTGCCACAGCAAGAGGGAAGAGAAAGAGTAACGCACAAGAACGTCGCGGCAAAAAGAGTACCACCACAGGCCCCACACCACAGGGGGGGCGGGGGGGAAGGGGGGAGGATACCATGGGGTGGGGAGGGAGGGGGGGTGTGGCAGCCCTGCATCGTATATGCGTGCTCCCACCGAAAGGGGGTCGTTTAAGGCGGCACACCTTAAGCTCTGAAATTCTGGGGTTTTGGGGCTTTGGGATAGGCGTCCTGCGGTTGATGATATACATCCTGCATTACCCATAATAATAAGGACCATACCATAATTCCCATAGTTTAGTGTCCTCCAGGTAATGCAGGATTTAGATCATCAACGTAGTTTTCGTGTTTAGTTTAGGGGGTGTTGGGCACACAGAGGCAGCCCCGACCGTGGGAGGTTTATGGTTTAGTAGGTGGAGGCACAAACATGCACAAACCTCCAGACGGGTCATCATGATTCAAGAAGGTACAAGTAGGGCTTTCGGACATTTTATATTTGCTCTTATTGGGCTTAAGAGGATCTTACCTACTAATGTTTTTCAAAGGATTTAAAAGCATCTCCTAGTTGGTTCAATGATAGGGAACTTCTCTTCCTCCTCTCCCGTGCAACGCTCGAAACATTAATGTATAACTTTAGGCCTTGGTGACGATGATTCCATACACCTTGACTGGCATAAATGCTTCGAAGGTATATGTGGCTAGTTCGCGCCTATGTGCTCAGTTCGGTACCTTCGTCAATTAAACTGCAGGATATGTCATGCATATGGGTGGTTGTCAAAATTAGGGTCCCTGTTTGGGTCCCTATTATAGTACGGCACCTAATATTTCGGGTACCCAAAAAGGGGCCCTAATTTTGACAACCACCCATATATTGGGATCAGGCAAGAGAACCCTGAACCCTACGACCCTCATACGCACAACGCCCTTAAACCCACAGGGTCATCACAGAATCCAAATGGGAGTTTCCGAAAATGGGGACCCTGTCATAATAATCTAAATAGTATAGGATCCTTATTATAAGGACTCCAAAAGAACTCCCAAATCTGGAACCCTTGTTGAGACCCTTGAAACCTCGAAGAGCCGGAAAAATCCTCTCGAGCCGATCCAGAACTTTAGAAACCCTATTCCCGAATGCCTATAAATCCGAAGACCCTAAATCCCAAGCACTCGACCACTAAGCCCTATACGGCCCTATGCCCTAAAACCTTACATCCTAAGCCCTCACCCCCTAAGCCCCATACGGCCCTATACCCTATACCCTAAAAGTCTTAACTCCCAAGCCCTAAACCACTCAAAAAGAAGCCGAAAACCCCAAGTCCTGAGACCTTAATCCCAATGCTTAAACCTAAGACCCTAAATCCCAAGCCTGAAACCCCCTGAACCTAAACACCCCTAACCCCTAAACCCCTAAACCCTAAACCCCTAAACCCCCAAACCCTAAAGAGCCCCCTGAAACGAAATCGACAACCCCAAGTCATGAGGCTCAATGGCTGACAGCCTCTGCAGCGGGGCTGGAGGCACGCGGTCCTACAGGATTTGTATAGTCATAGGGGTACTTAGAAATATTTTTAAATCTTTGGTTATTATAACCTCTAAGAAGCAGCTAAAATTACATTTTTTGCTAGGCTTCTAAGTTCAGTATAGATAGAGTAGGTAACCTTTAACCTTTTTGGGGTAGTATAGTCCCTATATAATCCTTAGATTACCCAAAAGGTTGACTTTTAGTGCCCCATGATACCCGACAAGCAGGGCAATTGTAGTGTCCCTGGGTTTAGGGGTTTAGCTTAGGGTCGTGTGGCGTCCTCTAAGTTAGGGTACTTTTCAGGGTGTTTAGCGTTTAGAGAACCATCCTATGGTTTTACACGGGTTCCATAAGGGTTTGATAAGGGTTCCAGCGGGTTTCACAAGGGTTCCAGAAGAGTTCCACGAGCGTTCTCTTAGGGCTCGATAAGGGCTCCATAAGGGTTCTGCGAACAGGGTTCTAAACAGGCCGTTGTGGGGGGTTCTAGAATTAGAAGGATTCCATGCATATGTCGAATTTGATGTCGAATGTTTGCAGTTTTAGGGTAGAGGGAGTTTTGACTTAAGGGCTCTACTTCACGGTGCTCGAGCTGATGGCATTTAGGGTGACCGTTTCATAGCACACGGTGTGGTCAGGTTCACCTGCAAACTAGACCCTCGAAACAGAAGCTACTTTCCTAGTAGTAGAGTAGGTAACTTTTAACCTTTTTTGGGTAGTATAGGCCCTATATAAACCCTATATAACCCAAAAGGTTAACCTTTAGTTCCCCATGATTCCCGACAAGTAGGCTTTTCAGGAGCTCTGACACCCTAAACCCTAGACCCCTAAACCCTAATCCCCTAAAACCCTAAACTCTAAACCCTAAACCCTAAACTAGACACTCGAACCAGAGGCCACTTTTCAGGAGCTCATACCCCACACTCCCATGCACGGTCCTCAAGAAGCCTGGCCCTGCCTAAACGTTTCGGGGCGTCCTTTAAAGGAATCTAGAAGGGTTCTATAGGGGGTCCTTCAAAGGGGTCTATAAGGGTTCTACAAGGGTTCCTATAAAGGGATCCACCATAGCTCTGATCTGATGGAACTGGCGTTCTTCTGGTTGGCTCTCAGGACCCTTAAGGGGATCCTTTAAGGGATACTGAAGGGATCTATAGGGGCCAGGGTTTGGGGATTAAGGACTTTAATTTTGTGGGGGTTCTATATGAACCGGAAGGAGGAAGCTAAAAGTTTATCTTTTCGGAGGGGTTCAGAAGTCAGCTAAGTATAGATCCCTAATAAGCCCATAAGAAGCCGCCGTCCTTATCCCGAACCTTTGAAGAGTCCACGACGAACCTCTGAAATCCTAAACCCTAAAAAAATCTAAACCCTAAACCAGAAAGCCCTGTTTAGGAGCACAAGCAGTACCTCGTCGTGGAAGCTGCTAAGCCAGAGCTCGTTGAATCTCGACTGCTTGGGTTTAGGGTCTTGGGTTTGATGCTGGGGGCTTTGGGCTTTGGGTTTAGGGTTTAGGGGGTTCGCCAGGGGGAAATAAGTACCAACAGTCTTCCTGAGAGTTCCTCACTTAATTCTACCGCACAACAATGTTCTCTAGGATCTGGAGTAGGCCCTTATTCCCTTTTGTAGGTGTCAGGTTCCCTGATAGGCACCTTTAAACCAAAAAGGGCACCCTTTTTATTCCTGGGCTACTCTTGGGTCTAGTTCTATAGTCTGCCCAATAATTACTAAGGCCCTTGTATGAGGGCGGTTTAGGATTTTCGGATTCTAGCCTCACTAGGATGCCCAGTAGTACCCTTATTCCTTTTTTGTAGTCCTAGGTTCCTTATAAAGTTACCCAATACCAAAAAGAGAGGCCTTTTTATTCTTAGGTTACTGGGTATCCTAGCTCAGGTTTTTCGAGTTGAGGTTTGTTGGTGTTGGGCTTTCCAGGAGCCTCCTTGTACCCTCAAATAGGGGTATATGGTCCAAAAATAAGGGGGCATTTAGGGTCTTTAATAGAGGGTAGATGGAGGGTCAAGGAAGGCCTAAGTATATACTATGTGGGAGTTTCCGAAAATAGGGGATCCTAATCTAGTACAGTACCCGAAATAGTAGGATCCTTACTATAAGGACCTCCAAATAAGGTCCCCCTAGTTTTCGGGTTGTGTAATTAGTACATGTTCTGCGCTGGGAGGGCCGTGTTCGACTGCTGTATCTCCTGATGCCTCGAAATCCGGCAGCGCTAGTCCCAAAGGGTCCAAGTAATAGTCAAGTATATACTTTTGGGGGGGGGGGGGGGGCAGACATCGACTAAGTAACTACTATAGTTGTACATGGACCCTTTGGGAGTAGATTTTGAAGCCCGAAAGCTTGCCCAAACCGCAAGCCCTCAATCCGAAAACTTGGCCCTCTCCGTCGCAAACCTGACCGTCGTTGCATAGCAATCGCTTAGTATAGGGGCCTTAATAACTAGGATTGGTTTTTTTTGGGGGGGGGGGTCATCATTATAAGTATAGTATGCCATACCCCGAAACCCTGTCCGAATTATGAAGGCCCCTGCAGCAGGCTCCAGAAGCAATGGGTGCAGGAGGATTGCTTGGAGGATCATGAATTGGGGTATAACCAATTAATCAATTATAGTGGGCTTTGGAGTACCATGCTTCAATACTTTTTTCCTGAAAGGAACCATACTTTTTTCTCCCTGGTTACTTAAAAGCCCAGTATAAGTGTAGTAACCTTATTTATAACCCTATTTACTACGGTTGGTGATATAAATCCTGCATTACCTTAAGGACCCTCAACTATGGGGATTACGGTAGATTCCTTCTTATGGGTAATGCAGGATGTATATCATCAACCGTATGTCCAATGATCCTTCAGGGGCCAGAAAGCCGAGAGGTCACGGGTCGTCTAGGACGACTACTTGGAGGGTCGGGGGACTTAGTAACTGGTTATTCTACGGACTTATAAGTATCATAAGCCCAATTGGCCCCTTTTAGGGTCCTTAGAAGTCTACTTACTACCTACTTACTAAGTCCCCCGACCCTCCAAGTAGGACCCCAGAGTAAGGGACTTTAGGGTTTATAAAGGGTTTAGGGTACTTTAGGGTTTAGGGTTTAAGATACTGTAGGACTTGAGAGTTTAAGCTACTTCGGTTTAGGACCCTTGAAGGGCCCTTTAATAGAGCCCTTGTTCTTGGACCCAGAGTAAGCCCTTCCTTTGTTAGGGTTCAGGTTCCATTATAACCCCCTGTGAACCAAAAAAGGGCACCCTGTTTGTCCCCAGGTTACTCTTAGGTTTGGACCAGGTGAAGAAGCCCTCCTTTCAGGGGGCTACGGCTACGTTACTCTAAGGGTTCTATATGGGGGATCTATACTACTTGGAGGCCCTTTTGACTTAGTAGGTAGGGTTAGTAAGGTAAGTTATGGGGATTATAATAGGGGTTCTAGGGGATACTAAGTAGACTTACTAAGTCAAAAGGGCCTCCAAGTAGTGTTCTGCTCCAGCAGAAAGAGGACTCGCGGGGTTCGAGTGCGAAGGGTTTTGGGTTTAGGATTTAGGTTTATTGGGTTTACGGTTTGTGGGGCTTAGGGGGCGACTGAACGTGCTGCATTGCAAAAGCTCAACTTTGGAAGGTGAGAAGACCGGCTTTGAATCATGGGGACTCTCAGGAGAGTAGGGGGCCCTTAATCCCTATAGTAAGAACTTTATTCAACGAAGTATGGTCCCCTACTCCCCTCCCCACTAACCCCCTAAGGGTCCCGATGATTAAAGCTGAGAGCGGCAACTTGAGGGTCATACTTGGCATTGGGCCCAGCAAAGGCAGCAGGAAGTGAACACCCCTCAGGGTTTAAGGTTTAGGTTCAGGGTTTAGGGTTTAGGGACACGTTATGACAAGCGTGGTAATCGCAAGGGATGAAATCCAACAGTTAGTGCATCACGTCCTATGCTTGAATTTACTCTGAGTTTGAACCCCAACTTAGTAGCGGAGTAGATACCCTTTAACCGTTTTGAGGGTAGTTTAAATACAGTCCCTACATACCTGATCCCAAACGTTAACCGTTAGGTTCCCCTATGATGATGGACAGGTAAGTCAAACTTTCGGAGCCCTTCGCGTTTGCTCTCTCAGTGTCCACCCCTTGTGAGCCCAGGAAGCTATGTGGGAGTTCAAGCAAGCCTGGGATGCCTTTCGGGACTCGCGCCCGGGGGTACAACATGATCGGACTACTGCCCCGTTGCGTGTTGGGTTTAGCGCTCAGGGTTTGTGATCTGCGGGGTTTGTTCTGCTGATGTGCACTTGATACATTGTGGATTCTACCCCCACCACCAGCGTTGCGATCATCACTGCTACCGAGCTTAGCATAGCGAGCACTAAGAAGAACACATACAAAGAATACAGCAACAGCCCAACTGTACTACGTAAACCTTCCTGCAGGACCAAATGACCGTTAAAAGTAGGGGCCCTATACCCACATACCATGAATCCCTATATGAACCTGGAACCCTTTTAGAGTTCACTTCGTCCTTAAGGTTCTTCAACGAGAAGTCATAGGCTCCTTACCCTCAACGCTTTAACCCTAACCCCAAGGGTCCTATGTACTGTTATGGGGAGTACTTTGTATTTTGTGGAAGATGTAGCTAGTCACCTGCACCTACTGTCGTTCATTGGCTCAAGAAAATATGCGTCTGCATTCAGGCTGTTCTGCCTGTAAACATAGGTTATCAGCCGTAGGTCTCACTTCGTTTGTAGATCGCGATGGATGCTCCCGTAAATCCTGCAGGTATTCCCGCGATAGACATTTCCGCGGCTCGCGTCGATACCGAGGATCTCAGTTCTCTTCCTGCCATGTCCGTCCAAGACGATGGCACGGATCCGGCTGTCCCCGGTACCCGAGAGGGTGGCCAAGTTGTTCCTCTGACGGCAGAGGCCTTGGCCGTGATGGCCCAACCAGATCCCCGAAGAGGTGCACCAGGAGCGGTGTCAGAATGGGCATATGTCTCAAGCCCAGCGCACCAACTCGCATCCCTGGCGGGATCGCCTCAACAATATAATGTGGCCCAATATTCACCCAGCGAGATCAGAAACGTCGCGAACTACTATCAACAAAATGTCCTTGCGCCAACGGTGCAACAAGCAGTCCATGTGCATCAAGTAGACACAGGACCAGCCGTTGCAGCTGAAGCTGAAGCACGCCACAGATTGATCATGGCCGAAGCAAACAATTTGCATAGGGAGCAATTCAACCAGCTTCATGCACAGGCGCTATCCGGTGCTGCCCAACTTCGGTTGGAGTTTGCCCAAGCGGAGAGTCGTCTGCAACAGAAAGAAGAAATGCTTCGAGCAGCCGGCGAAAGCATGGCTAATAAGCACAGCGACGAGTTGTCGCAGATGCGACGTGAAGCCGTTGACTACAAGCTCAGGCTTCATCAGGCTGAGGTTACAGTCTCCGACGTTGTAGCCCAAGCTGAAAGAGAGCTGGCTAATCGAAGTCGGGCTAGCCAAGACACCGTTGCAGTCATGAATGGCGAACTAAGCCAACTCAAGTCTGAGATGGGTGCATTCATGCAAGTGCATCGCCAACAGGCTGAGTCGATGACGAAGCTTGAGCGCACCAATGCCGAGCTTCGTGATCGCCTGGCGAAAGCCACGGCATATTCACCAACTGCCGTAGGAGATCAGTCTCCCATTGAACACCCTATTCATACCCCTCCGGGTCTGGGTAAAGTAGATGGTGGCCCGCCAGGGGGAGGTGGAGATGACTCGCCTCCCGAAAGCGACGGCGACGGGGATGAGCCCGATGACGATTCCCGTGACAAGAAGAAGAAAAAGAAAAAGGACAAAAAGAAGAAAAAGAAAAGAGACTCATCTGATTCATCATCATCGTCGTCTATCTCCCTATCTAAAAAGGACCTCCTGAAGATGTTCAAGAAAGTCGTTAAGTCGAAGAAAGACAAGGATGATGTCGAGGAAACCGAGGCGACAAGGGGAAGGCCCAAGGTGAAGGAAGCTGAGAAGATTGTGTTTCCAAAGTTTCCCCAGCCAGAGAACTATCGCAACTGGAGGCTTCGCGCACGCGAGGCTGTGGTCGCCGCCTCTGACCGTCCCGATGAGGCTTTCGAGTGGCTCGGTGAAGTGTGGAAGGATGATACCACGGAAGAGTCCCTTCGTGATCCTAACGGTTTCACAACGCTTGATGCGAAGATCCTCTCGGCAATCACAAACATTCTGGAAGGTGATTTTGCTCGCCAGATTGACACTTTTAAACAGAGGGAAGGACACGAAGGACGCTTAGTTCGTGGCCGACAGATTCTACATAAGCTCAACGCTTATTTGTCGACCAACGCACTCCACGGGTCTGTGTACGATATGGAGGATCTGCTCAACGTCGTCATGCTTAACGAAAATCTTGTGCAATTCGTGCGTAATTGGGATACTGTCCTCTCAGGCATGAAGAAAGCACCTGCTGACGATGTTTTGCAACCCTTGTTTCATAGACAGGTTAAGAAGTGTAAGCTTTTGGCGCACGACATAGCCATCTATGAAAGGGCAGTAGACGGCACACAGGAGAAATCCTATGAATACCTGTACAATGCCGTTAACCGAGTCATCAAGATCAAACGGCTTGAGCGCAACCGGGAACGGATTGCAAGGCAGGCCGCAGCAGGTATGCCATCGGCACCCGCACCGCTAAAGCGTGTGCCCAAAGGCTTCTGCATTGACTTTGTTCGGAACGGTTCGTGCAACAAAGAAAAATGTTCCTATAAGCATCAGATACCCGAGAAGCCACGTGGTAGGACACCAAGCAAAGGTAAAGGCCGAGGCAAGTCGCCCTCCGCAAGGGGGAGCCCTTCTCCTGGGAAGATTAATGCTGAGTGCAAATTCTTCAAGCATGGTAAATGCAACAAGGGTGACAAGTGCCGTTTCATACACAAAGGCCAGCCTTCTGCTCCTGCCACTGGTAGCGGTAGAGAGTCTAGCGGCGAAAAGAAGAGTAAGAAACAGAAGAAAGAAAAGAAGCATAGGAAGAAGTCTCGCTCCAGCTCTAAAAGTTCCAAGGGTAGTGGAGGCTCCAAGGGGAGCAAAGGCTCTGGGAACAGCAAGGGCTCGGGGGGGCGGAAACCTAAGGCTTCGCTTCCGGCCGCCGTCTGCCTCTTAGGCGCACTTGTCGCAGGTTCGGCATCCCAAGCCGATGCACACGCTTTCCGGAAGGAAATGCCGAACTTCATTGACTCGTGTGCAAGCACCGCTCACGTTGCTCTGGCATCTGTGCGATTCTCGAATGCTCCTGAGTATCACTACATTCCCACGCCCCCTGAATCTTCCAAGTGGCGTGAGGTTGAAATCGAGCCGAGGGTTTTCAGTGAAGAATTTCCTGTTAACTACAAGCCCAAACCTGATGGGCAGGATGTTCGGGATGCTTTGGCGACAGCTAAAATGCTGAGGTCAACCGTTGAAGGTATGAACCAAGGTACGAATCCAGCATGTAAGTTCATGTGTAAGACTGAGTTCGGTTGTGCTCATTGCATTGCGCCCGGCATATCTGTCGGATGCCCAGCAAAGGGGAGCCGATCAGATCCTGTGATTGAAATGGAATGGATTGCCGACACTGGCAGTGCTCAGGATTTGATATCGAAAAACGTTCTCGGTGAAGTAAAGGATTTCTTGTCGGATCGGCCTATCAACATGATTACCGCCAACGGACCTAACTATGCTGACAAACAATGCAAGGTTAGGATTCCTTCGATCAATACGACCGCCGAACCATATGTTCTACCCGATTCACCATCCGTTCTCTCGGTTGGACAGAAGTGCATGGAGGAAGGGTTTGACTTTATCTGGAGAGCTAATTGTAGACCCTACTTCAGGGACCACAACGGGAACAAGGTTTATCTCGATGTGAAGGACAACGTTCCATACCTGAAGTCTAGGAAGGAAAATGTTGCGCTTCCCGCGCGACCACGTCCGGAGCCCAGCCTTCCTGCATCGCCGGTTGAGAAACCTGGCAAGTATGTTGAGGAGTCAGAGAGGATTGCAAAAGAGTTACTTGAGAACCTTGACTTCCAGTGTAAGTCTTGTCTGAAGCTACTGCAATCTATGAACTGCAAGCCCTCCAAGAGCAATCGTAAGTCAATTACAAACAACCAGAGTCGCACCGACGGAAACGTCGAGTACCTTGTGCTTGGCGCTTTCGCTCATGGCGGCGTCCAGGGCATTACTAACCGTACGCAGAAGTATGCCCATTCTACCCGATACATCAATGCATTCCTCCAGAATCATGGAATGACGGGAGATTGCTCATCGGTTTGCATCAATCACGGTTCGTCCGTTAAGGTTCACAAGGATGCTCACAACATGAAGGATTCCACCAATTTCACTATCAGTCTTGGCAGCTTCGAAGGTGGTGAACTTTGGATTCACGACCCCGCTGCCCGAAAGGGAGAGCACAATGTCATCACTCAGAAGGTAGGGTTGAAGACTTTGTATGGCAAGAAACGCGTCTCCCGCAACAAACTTGTGAAGTTCGATCCCAAACGTTTTCACTGTGTTCTTCCTTGGAAAGGGGATAGATGGAGCATTACCGCGTACGTCAATCGAGCTGTTCCCAAGCTTCAGAGCAATGAAATTGCCAAGCTTCGGAGTTATGGGTTCAATCTCTCTAAGCGTACTGCGATTCCTGCCCTCGCTCCCGATTCCGAGGATGAACGGCCGCTTGAGGACCTTGTAACACGAGGTTCTGCGGTAAGGCCTTCCGAGCCTAGGACCAAGCCTAAGGTCAAGATTAGGGAATCGGAGAAAAAGAAAGAAAAGAACCTTCCTAAGTCCGATGTTGCCGAAGATGCATCTAGCAAAGCCGCTGAAGAGTTCGACAAGCTCCTTGAAGATCTTGAAAAATCAGGAGCAAAGCAAACTGCTGAGCTCAGTGAGCAAGAGCATCTCAGTCGCATGATCGATGAGTTCGGCTCGGACATCGAACCTGATGAACCGCCCAAGCCGGATCTTGGACGACCTCCTGGCGGAGAGTCTAAGGTCCCAGATGGGGAGGGCAGTTCTGATCCCAAAGTTCTTAAGGGAATTGAAAAGCTTAAGAAGGAAGCTACTTCGTTGCATCATCTCATGACACACATCCCTAAGAATCCCTATTGTTCGGTATGCAATCAGGCTAAGATGTACAAGGCCCCGGGTTACAAGACC